GGGCCGAATGTTGGGCGGGAGAACGTGTGGGGACGGCAAAACATGTGGGTTGCAGAATGTGGCGGCAGGAGAACATGTGGGGGCAGAACGTGCAGATGGTGGAACATGAGGGACGGCAGAACGTGTGTCCTTAAGAACATGTGGGCAGTAGAACGTGTGGGCAACAGAACATGTGGGCAACAGAACATGTGGGCAGTAGAACATGTGGGCAACAGAACATGTGGGCAGTAGAATGTGTGGGCAGTAGAACGTATTGGCAGTAGAACGTGTGGGCAGTGTGTGGCGGCAGGAGAACATGTGGGGGCAGAATGTGCAGATGGTGGAACATGTGGGCAGTAGAACGTGTGGGCAGCAGAATGTACGGACGGCAGACCAAGTGCAGTTCTACGTCTTCCTCCTCGGGCACCGCTGGAGCCAACTCCAACACAACTTTCAACAAGACTCACCCACCTGCACCCACACACTCACCCACCTGCACCCACAGACTCACCCACCCACCACACCCACCTGACACACACTCACCCACCTGCACCCACACACTCACCCACCTGCACCCACACACTCACCCACCTGCACCCACACACTCACCCACCTGCACCCACACACTCACCCACCTGCACCCACACCCTCACCCACCTGCACCCACACACTCACCCACCTGCACCCACACACTCACCCACCTGCACCCACACTCACACCAGCACCCACAGACTCACCCACCAGCACCCACAGACTCACCCACCAGCACCCACCACCTCACCCACCTGCACCCACACACTCACCCACCTGCACCCACACACTCACACCCACCTGCACCCACACTCACCACCTGCACCCACAGACTCACCCACCAGCACCCACACACTCACCCACCACACCCACACTCACCACCAGCACCACACACTCACCCACCTGCACCCACAGACTCACCACCTGCACCACAGACTCACCCACCTGCACCCACAGACTCACCCACCTGCACCCACACACTCACCCACCTGCACCCACACACTCACCCACCAGCACCCACACACTCACCCACCTGCACCCACACACTCACCCACCTGCACCCACAGACTCACCCACCTGCACCCACACACTCACCCACCTGCACCCACAGACTCACCCACCTGCACCCACACTCTCACCCACCTGCACCCACACTCTCACCCAACAGCACCCACACACTCACCCACCTGCACCCACACACTCACCCACCTGCACCCACACACTCACCCACCTGCACCCGAGCCCCATCATGTGCCCTCAGTCCCCACACTCTGCCCACTGTCCCATCATGCCCGTCACTCTGCGGGTGAGGGGGGTGAGGGGTGAGGGAGGGGTACAGGAGACCCCCCCCCCGCCCCACCACCATTGCAGTATTGATTTGTTTATTTAGTGCACTCTCCTCCTCCTCCTCTCTCCTCCTCCTCTCCTCCTCTCCTCCTCCTCCTCCTCCTCCTCTCCCTCCTCTCCTCCTCCTCCTCTCCCTCCTCCTCCTCCTCCCCTCTCCTCTCTCCTCTCCTCCTCTCCTCTCCTCTCCTCCTCCTCTCCTCTCCTCCTCTCCTCTTCCTCCTCTTCCTCTTCTCTCTTCTTCTTCTCTCAGAGTCAGTGTCCTCAAGTGCCTCAGTCTTATGTAACACGGAGCTCCACAGAATAGTGATGAGGCAGAGTCTGGGCTCTGGGCCCAAAGACCTGAGCAACAACCAGACTCTGCTCACGCCGCAACCGGACCAGGACTACAACCGGACCACAGGACCAGGACCACAACCGGACTACAACCGGACCACAGGACCAGGACCACAACCGGACTACAACCGGACCACAACCGGACTACAGGACCAGGACCACAACCGGACCACAGGACCAGGACCACAACCGGACTACAACCGGACTACAACCGGACCACAACCGGACCACAACCGGACTACAAGAACAGGACCACAACCGGACCACAGGACCAGGACCACAACCGGACCACAACCGGACTACAAGAGCAGGACCACAACCGGACTAAAAGACCTGGACTACAACCAGACCACAACCGGACCACAGGACCAGGCCACAACCGGACCACAACCAGGACCACAACCGGACTACAACCGGACCACAACCGACCACAACCGGACCACAAGAGCAGGACCACAACCGGACTAAAAGACCTGGACTACAACCAGACCACAACCGGACTACAGGACCAGGACTACAACCGGACTACAACCGGACCACAAGACCAGAACTACAACCGGACCATAACCGGACCACAGGACCAGGACCACAACCGGACTACAACTGGACCACAGGACCAGGACTACAACCGGACTACAACCAGATCACAAGACCAGGATCACAACCGGACCACAACGGGACCACAACTGGACCCCAAGACCAGGACCACAACCAGACCACAACCAGACTACAACCGGACTACAACCGGACTACAGGACCCGGACCACAACCGGACCACAACCGAACCAGGACTACAACCGGACAACCGGACTACAACCGGACCACAACCAGGACTACAAACCGGACACAGACCTGGACTACAACCGGACCACAGGACCTGGACTACAACCGGACCACAGGACCTGGACTACAACCAGACCACAACCGAACCAGGACTACAACTGGACCACAGGACCTGGACTACAACCGGACCACAGGACCTGGACTACAACCGGACCACAGGACCTGGACTACAACCGGACCACAGGACCAGGACTACAACCGGACCCACAAGACCTGGACTACAACCGGACTACAGGACCAGGACTACAACCAGACTACAAGACCCAGACTACAACCGGACTACAGGACCAGGACTACAACCAGACTACAAGACCCAGACTACAACCGGACTACAGGACCAGGACTACAACCAGACTACAAGACCCAGACTACAACCGGACTACAGGACCAGGACTACAACCGGACTACACAGACAATCACTGGTGTTTGTGTTTTACATGAGTACTGTGTGTTAGAGGAGAAGATTAAAGGGTCTGTATTACACTAAATGTACTCACTGTAAAAAATCTTGGCCAAAATTTAAGATATAAAAATTCAAATCTATCAGAAAATGACTTAACATCCCAGGACCGAAACTCTTGCAACTTTATGGATTTATCTTTGTTATTTTATTTGGGCTGATTGGGATGAGATGAGGCAAAAACAAAGAATAATATTTTTATAATATTTTTGCATTTATATGTCACATATGATATGTAAAACATTCATTTAATGTTTTAATCATTTTGATGTAAACACAATAAAGTCACAATTGAACAATGATTTGCAAAACTCATTTATGACGTGCCTGAACAACCCAAAATGTGTCGGACATAAACACCACGTCCTAGGAGGCCACAAAGCTATAATATAAGTTGATTGCTAGAACCAGTAAGTAGATAATAAATCTGAAAACAAGATAAATAATAGGATAGAAGTGTTCAAATCTTGGCCAGATCAGAGAAATTTGCAGTTCTGTTACTGCGAAATACAAGCACCAAAAGTAGAAAGTAGGAAAAGTAAAAAAGTACACAGCAAAATCAATGGAAAAAATACAAAATGACAAAAAAAGCTCGGCTAAAATGTAAGATATAAACACCTAAATCTATGAGAAAATGACTTAAAAATAGAGAAATGATGTGTCCAAGCAGTAAGATCATTTTAAAATAACTTGTCAAGTAAAATTAACGACCTCTAGACTAGAATGAAGCGTCTCAGAACGAGTAAGTAGACAATAAATCTGAAAACGACGAATAACTTGATATAAATTTTAAACTCTCGGCCAGATCAGAGACATTTACAGAGCTCTTGAGCTTTAAGTCGTGTTCTAACGTTGTTCCCTCCTCAAAAACAGACCTCAGTTCAATGTTATGAATATAAGACTGAAATAAAAATGTTAGACTAATATACGAGTCCAGTGCACTTCAGGTCCGGGGTTATCTGCTTTTACGCAACATAATACAGTAAGTTTGTTATTCTGCTTAAAGGTCAAGGCTTAAAAGCAAAACTGACTCTTGCGAGGTTTAAGTCGTGTCCTAACGCTGTTCCCTCCTCAAAAACTGACCTGGAGTTGTGTTTTGTTTAGTCTGTCTGCGTCTCCAAAGCTCAAAATTCTCTGTCATGAAGAGAAGAGGCGAGTTTCAGCTGACGTCATTGTTATTAAAAGCCCGCGTTGCTGCTGGGAAATATTTTGGTCGGAGGCAAGAAACACGGTAGCGTCAAACACAGTGCGTAACTTCGCGTATTTATCCCCGATAATGGTAAATTCCTGCTGCATTATCGGACGCACAAATAGAAGCACGGAAGAAGGAAAATGTCTTTTTCGTATTCTGAGTGAAAAGAACCACTAACGGTGAATTAAACGACTTTCAAACATCCGCAGAGCAAACGTAGAAGATCCTAACAAACCGTGGACTCCAACAAGTTCAACAACACATCGAGACTCTTGGAGGTTTTCATCTTTTCTGCTGTGAATGACCCAGGAGTTTCCACCAAGTCATTGTGAATATCGCCCAAGTGAATATTTGTCCAGGTAGTTGGCGATTCTGACCAGAAATGTGGTTTGGTCCAGACTCTGTCGGGGTTGAAAAGGGTGATTTGTCGTCCGTCGATGTTTATGACCAATTTCTGGTCAAATGGTCTTGGGTCCTCTGCTGTTAGAGTGGATAAATAACCGGGATCAATACACTTTACGTGTTTTCTCGCTCCGTCCATCATGATGAATTAATGTTTATTGCCACCGACCAAAATAATTCCCAGCATGCAACGTGCTCTTTTGTCAACAATGAAACTCGCCTACAGCTCCTTTTACCTTTAGTTCGGTAGAGTTTGTGAATTCCAGGTCTGAAAACATCACCAAATGATTCTAGTGAAGGTTTGTGGAGTTTTAAAACGCAGTCGAGCCCTTCCTGTATCAGCGCACGACATCACAAAGTGGAACATTTGAAAAGAACTCTAAAATAGGACCTTTAACGTGTTCGGACACTCACCGATTCCTGGTAGAGCTCCTTTTTGTCCAGCATCTCCCTCAGCGTCTGCAGCACCTTTATGCAGAGCTTCTCCTCTTTCTCCATCAGAGTCTTGGTGTGTTTGATCAGCCTGAAAAAGACGAGAGGTCACAGCACGAATTACAGGGTGTCCCCAGGTTTGACCACCCCAAATTTAAGACTTTTTAAGAGCTTTTTAACTCTTTCCCCCATGAAGACGACATTTGACGACCCCCCTGAACCCTTAATGACGACTTTTGACTCCTCCGCCGTATCACTAAAGACGAGATTTGACGACCTTTAGAAATGGCTCGGTTTTTCACATTTAAACAGAGACTGCGACAGGTCGGGGCCACTACAACCCACACTAGACTGACCAATAGGATTCAAGGATATGGTTTCGCCGATTTTTTCCGAAGTTAATCGAAATAGTGACGATGGTAGCTTCCGGAAAAACAACACGAAACACGTGCAATGGAAAGATGGCGGCGCTGCGGCGCACAGTTTTAGAAATAACGAGGAGCGGACGTATTTTATGGATAAGTTTAGAGAAAGTGACTTTTATAGATTTCAAAGTGATGATGAAGTTGATTATAAAGTGGAAAACAGCGACAGCGACGGACTTTCGGGGAGAAGGTGAGATGCCGCTGATGCGTCTGTGTGGAGTCCTGCAATATCCCAACACACTATCTGAGCTTTATACTCGATGCTGTTTTGAAAAAAAAAAACGGCTGATTTTGTCAAATATGGTGTCAAATTTCATTCGAGCTCCCCTCCTCTACATGACAGACATATAATACTACATCCCCGACTCAGAATTTTGTCATACATCTATACAAAATAGTCGACTTAGATATTCGATATTGTCAACTCGGGAGGTAAGAGACACCACCCGGTGCAGGAGAATCCCTTTCGAGGGACTTCTCCCTGGGTGTTGCTGGGGGCTCATCCAACGGCCCTGGGAAGTGGTGAGGTCCGGGCGAGAGGAGTTGTAAAGCTGATCCCACGGACCCACCCCTGGGCGGGGACGGACCCCCCTGCTCCAGGCGTGACCGTCAAGTCTTATACCTGGTCTTCTAGTCTTCTCTGGTTTCTACCTGGTCTTCTACCTGGTCTTCTATCTAGTCTTCTATCTAGTCTTCTACCTGGTCTTCTACCTAGTCTTCTACCTAGTCTTCTATCTGGTCTTCTACCTGGTCTTCTATCTAGTCTTCTATCTAGTCTTCTATCTAGTCTTCTACCTAGTCTTCTATCTGGTCTTCTACCTGGTCTTCTATCTGGTCTTCTATCTAGTCTTCTATCTAGTCTTCTATCTTCTACTTCTAGTCTTCTACTTCTACTGGTCTTCTCTGGTCTTCTATCTGGTCTTCTACCTGGTCTTCTATCTAGTCTCTATCTAGTCTTCTATCTAGTCTTCTATCTACCTGGTCTGGTCTTCTACTGGTCTTCTATCTGGTCTTCTATCTGGTCTTCTACCTGGTCTTCTACCTGGTCTTCTACCTGGTCTTCTATCTAGTCTTCTATCTAGTCTTCTAGTCTTCTAGTCTTTCTACTTCTCTGGTCTTCTACTGGTCTTCTATCTGGTCTTCTACCTGGTCTTCTACCTGGTCTTCTATCTAGTCTTCTACCTGGTCTTCTACCTGGTCTTCTCCTGGTCTTCTATCTAGTCTTCTATCTAGTCTCTCTACCTGTCTTCTAGTCTTCTACTGGTCTTCTTCTATCTACCTGGTCTTCTACTGGTCTTCTATCTCTTCTACCTGGTCTTCTACCTGGTCTTCTACCTGGTCTTCTATCTGGTCTTCTATCTAGTCTTCTATCTGGTCTTCTACCTGGTCTTCTATCTGGTCTTCTATCTTCTATCTGGTCTTCTACCTGGTCTTCTACCTGGTCTTCTATCTGGTCTTCTACCTGGTCTTCTATCTGGTCTTCTACCTGGTCTTCTATCTGGTCTTCTACCTGGTCTTCTACCTGGTCTTCTACCTGGTCTTCTACCTGGTCTTCTACCTGGTCTTCTATCTAGTCTTCTATCTGGTCTTCTATCTAGTCTTCTATCTAGTCTTCTATCTGGTCTTCTCTGGTCTTCTACCTTCTTCTACCTGGTCTTCTATCTGGTCTTCTCTGGTCTTCTATCTAGTCTTCTATCTAGTCTTCTAATCTGGTCTTCTATCTGGTCTATCTGGTCTCTCTCTTCTACCTGGTCTTCTATCTACCTGGTCTTCTATCTCCTAGTCTTCTATCTAGTCTTCTACCTGGTCTCTTCTACCTAGTCTTCTATCTAGTCTTCTACCTGTTTTATATCTGGTCTTCTATATCTGGTCTTCTACCTGGTCTTCTACCTGGTCTTCTATCTAGTCTTCTATCTGGTCTTCTACCTGTTTTATATCTGGTCCATATCTGGTCTTCTACCTGGTCTTCTACCTGGTCTTCTACTTGGTTTATATCTGGTTCTCGGTGTGGGGGTTCCTTACTTGGACATGAAGGCTCCGCTCTCACATCGGACTCGTGCCGGTTCTGGAAACAGGAGTTCAGGACTGTGCAGAACGTCGACCAGAACAGAGAACTCAGCCTGGACTTTAGGACTGAACTGCTCCTCCAGACACGACACCACGCCCTGGACACAAACAACACAAACATGACACAAACAACACAAACATGAAACAACAACAAACATGACACAAACAACACAAATATGACACAAACAACACAAATATGACACAAACAACACAAATATGACACAAACAACACAAACACAAACACACAAACACAGGTTTAACTCACTCAGAAGGACCAATTCTATAAACTACTTTTGCAATAACACTGGTCTATAGAATTGTGTAATGTATTTACTTTATCACCGTGTTGTAGATGACAAGTTCAGTATTACAAATTGTCAATTTATAGACCAAATTGGGATATCGATTGGACCAATATCTTGGGACCGATATTTTCAATATCGGTGCCAGTACCAGATACCAGAACGACACCAAAACGAATGTTGAGAATGATGTGATTCAGGGGTTTAGGTTTGGGGTTTGTTCTCAAATTTAAAACAAACAAACAAAAAAAAAAAACATATTTAACACAACACAATAATGGTAATAATGGAGTGTACCTGTAGTTTTTCGATGATGTTCCTGTAGTCGGGTCCTCCCAGAGGCTCTTTTCGGGGGCGGTTTCGAGCAGAGATCCTCCAGTCTTTGGCCGCTCTGTGGACCATGTTTGTGTGAACCTTCAGAGACAGAGTGTTCACCTGACTGTCCAGGTCCACCGGGATCGCGATGGCCCGAGCTTTGGCTGAACACAAATACAACACAGAATGAAGAACACGTTTAAATACTACTGAAGCTCTGTTACTCAAGTTGAATAGTTGACTTGGTGTAAACTCCAACAGGTGGGGTCTGCCGCTTATTCCAACATCCCTTCATTACGACATTTTTTTAGACGTGCTGGTTTTTCGACACTTTTTAGTATCACTGTTCTGACATGTCTTTTAGTATTTTTTTGAGAGCTTTGATAGTCGACCCAGGCACGTCTCTCTGTTCTTCATCCCAACAACAATCAAGTCAAACACAAAACCGACACACACAGTCGCCAACTGTTTTTCGCGGCTCAGTTCGGACACTTTCCCTCTGTCTGAAATCCTCTGTGGCTGAAGTTTTCTCCGATCAATTGTTTTGCACCGACCCAAGCGGGAGCACAAAAGCATAGGCTATCACATTTATATTATTCCTGTCGGAAAAGCGGAATGTTTGAAAAATAGTAAAGTGCCGCTGCTCCGACAATGAAAAAAAAAAAATGCTCCCACGAATTCATGTTGGTACAGATCTGATCCTTGACTGTGTGGACTCCTGAAAACACTGATACTCTGATGTAGGAGCTCGAGTCTCGTCCTTATTGAACCACGTCACTGTGACTCGCTCTTTCCTGATTCTCTGGGTTCGTGACATCGATGTCATGTGACAATATTATGGAAAACAGTTTAAACAAACCAGAGACAAACAGGAAACTACTCGCACAGAACAGACTCACCATCAGCAGAACAGCCCTCTGTCACAGAAAGAACACTCATATCCCACTGAGTCGTGTCCTTCCTTCAGCTTCTGTCATGTCCGACAGAAGTTGAACCGCATCAGCGCACAAGGAGCGAGCTCTTTTTTTGAGCCTTAGTTTATGCAAATGAGTCATGTGGTTTTAAGTTTCATTTAAAACGTAAACAAATATGCTCCAAGTTGTGTGGATAGGAAAGGATTGTGGACACAGAAATGATGTGTCTGGACGCAAATCGTTTCCAATACGGTGACACGGTGATTCGCTTCAGTGTAAACGTAACATTACAATCACCTGCATTAGCATTAGCATTAGCATTAGCATTAGGCAGCAGTTTTTCTGTGAGTCACTCTTAACTTTTTGTTGAAAATAAAACTCCTAAACAGGACCACGAACACTCGCACTGACCATAGGCACCTGAAAATGTGCTCTTTAAATCCATTTTGTATTTTATCTTGAGTTTTCAGACTTAAAACTCTTTTGACTGTGTTTGCTAACGTGTGCTTTGCGTCACCATGGAAACCGATGAACATTCCACCAGTAAAGACACACGTAGAAAATCCCCAAACTCTCCATAAAAATGTGGAACAGAAGCCGAGTGTTTCACCTCCAGCACTTACCCACATCTGCCAGAGTTTTGATGCAGCTCTCGATGTTGGTTTTCTGAGCGGAGCTGATCCAGGTGCAGCTGTAGAGTCTGAACGCCGACTGCAGCAGTTTAATAAACACAGACTGGTTTGTCTGAAACACAAAGTGCTTTTGTTAAAATGACAAACACAGAAAGATTATTTAATATCACGATCAGAAATATTCAGCATCACATTTGATTAAGAGTGATTTTCTGTAACTGTTCTGAAGTGGCTTTTTGCTGCATGTTTGTCTCCATGGAGGTTTTATTACTTCACTTAGAATGTTCCAGAGTGTTGCATTAAACCTAAAATCTGTCAAACATGCATCTAATTCCTGGTGTTTTCATAATTCAGTGGAGGTGCCCGTGCAGAGGAACATTCTAAACAAGTGCAGCTTTATCATTTATGAAGACGTCTCCGCGTCTGCTCCTGGTGTAGACGTCAGCTCCAGACTGTGACAGGAGCAGGTGAAGGTGCGGCTCCTGTCACATTCTGCGCTCTGAGCAGATTTGAGTTTCTCGTAGCGCAGAGCCGCTCGACGGGAGGGGGGAGCTCTACCTGGAGGTTGGAGTGGTTGACAGAAAAAGGTGAGCTGAAGAAGCCCTTGACGATGGCCATCACGGTCTCTGTCACGTACTTCTCCAGGGCCTGGTCGGCGTGGTTACGGTCTGTGGTGCTGTTGCAAACCTGGAGAGACACAGAAACGTCAGAGAATCACACACGAATACGGAACAAACACACATACAAACAGACACACACACACATACAGATACACACATACTGACACACAAATACAGAAACACACTCATACAGAATATTCAGATATTAGGGATGGGCATGATTAGTCGATTAATCGATAATTGATCATTAAGAATTTCATCGATTACGTTCATTTTAATCAACAAACTGAATGTATGTTGTTGTGTGTGTCGTGACCAAACAGGTGTGTACATGTGTCTCTGCATCAGAAGGAGCGAGACACAAACAGTGGGTCAGTCTGTAACGAACCGAAGCACAAATGTGGATTTAACCAGGATTTGTAGAAGAAATTCCACACTTTCCGTTGCGTTGGGACAAGTGTGAGTCCATGTGCACAGTGGATAAAGCAGCACATATGTTTCTGTGTCCAGTGGGAAAAAGTTTTTCCAGGTGAGAGTCGCTCAATGTGGATGACGAGGCCCCGCCCCCCTCCCCCCGTACGCTGTCCTGGTTTTGACAAACACAAATCTGGTCACACTGACCTGTATTCACCTGAGTCATGTCTTTTAATCCAACACAAGTTGAACCACATCAGCGACACAAGAGCTGGAGTTTTATCTTCACTTAGTTTATGTAAATTAGTGATGTGGTTTTAAGTTTTGTTTCTGTGAGATTTGAACAAAACTGAATTAAACACATTATAATGTCAAACAGCTGATGTGGATCTAGAGTCGTTATGTTTATATGTCGTAAAGTTGAATTTATTTATGCAGATTAGTGCAGATAGTAATAATAATGATGATCATTTTAATATAAAAACATTAATGATTAATCGATAGTTAATTTTCCCGATGATCGATTAAGAAAATTTCAACGAATGTCGATCCCTAACATATATACAGAACACACAGAACATACAGTCATAGCAGCAAACACATACAGCAGGTCTCCAAACTGTCACACAGGAGCTTCCAGTCGCTCTCCACCCCCTTCAGAGTTGCTCCAAGACATTTATTAATTCTATTACTGTGCTGAATAAGTCAAATTTGAATTACGACCACTGTAAATGTGTCATTTTCACGTCGAACTTTGAGCACTGATAAATTAATAATGATTTATGTTTTAAAGACAGCTGTTCTGCATCTAAGGCTCGTCAAGGCTCTTATATATACTTAGTTTCTTTGCGATTGCTAAAATAAGCAGCTCTGTGGCATTTTTGTTTTGTAAAAGTGGTTCACTGGAGGAAAAAACGTTGGAGGCCCCTGATACACAGAACATACACACACTGATATACACACACTAATCCATTCACACAGTCACACAGACAACACTCAGGACTAAGGATGTGCAAAAATATTGAAATAATGATATAATAAAATGTTTGTGTTTCATATGAACTTTGAACAAGAAGTGGTTTAGTGTCACACACATGATTTAGACTTTAATTTTATTGAACCGTATCGAATTGATTTTAACTATATAGTACTGAATCGTATCGAATCATAATATCACTGTATCGAATAAAATGAATAAAATACCATAATTTCCAGACTATAAGCCACAACTTTTCTCTCAGACTTTGAACCCTGCAGTTTAAACAACAATACGTCGAATATATGGATGGATTATTTGTTCAAGAACACGGTGGATGAGCCGCAGCCTGAGGAGAAAGTGCAGCTTTTTGTGAAGTTGAAACGTAAAACAGTTTATCTCTGTGTGATAAAATAAATTATGATGTTAAATGAACATGAGTGAGTGGGATTCGTCTTAATGACTCGTGTGTGTTAAACGCAGGTGAGTGCAGAAATGAGAAGAAACGTCTCAAACTTCAGTAGCCGCACTGTGACGGGTTCTATCTTAGTGTAATGACGATGGTGTAGTCAGAAGGATGTTTTTTGAGTGTTTAATAAGTGTTAACGTTCCCAAATAATAAAGTTTGAAGAGTGCTATACAAAAAAATAGTGAAACAACAAAGAAAAAGTATTTACAATATATACACACACCAGCAAAAATATGCTTAAATCCATAGCATGTTACCTTCCTCTTGCAGGTCCAGGTTTAATCTGACTGAGGGAGAGTGGCTCTTTTATCCCCATGACTCCTCCCCCCAAGCCAATTAACTAAGAAATGTGGGTTTTCACCCTTAAAACCCAAATTATTGATAACAACGAAATAAGGAAAAAGACAGAAAAATATAGTAAATGATATGGCCATATCTCTGCGCCTGTAGCAGCAATAGAAAATGAAAAATTAATATTTTATCATTAACCGTGGTTTTTTTGGTGATGACGTCACAATGACGGCAGATGTTAAAGGTTGTATGGAGGATTTTTGTTTTTTGTTTCAAATTGTCAGTGAAAGTTTAAAATACCATTACAGAGATGCAGCAGCCTTGTAATTATGATGACCAAAAAAAAAAAGAATGAAAATCTATCAACTGTGGACGTAGTGAGGCCAGATAAACATCAGCCAATAGAAAACGAGGCTGCCTCATTTTCTATTGGCTGTTAGGCTGTCAATCAAACTCCCTACATTTCTAGTGTAACTGACTGGGGATTACGTGGTTTATACAGCGGTTTTTAGAGTCTTTTTTAAACTGTCGCTTCCTCACAGTTTGCACAAAGTTTGTTGCGATGGCGGACGAGAATCCACGACCAGTTCGCCGCAAAAGAAATCAATTTCTGAGGTCGCTGAAAGAAGAAGAGAAGGAGAAAAGGAGCGAAGACAAACTGAGGTGATTCTTGGAGATTCCTTCCAGCGATGGCGCGAATGAAGCTGACGAAGGGTCTAAAAACTGACGCTTCGGTTGCTAAATTACTTCCAGACAGGTCACTTCAACAGTAATTCTGAACATGCACTGGATGTAAACAAGTGGCATTTCTAGAGTAAAGAGGCAGGAGGAGGTGTTTCTACTGTGGAGCTGTGGATGAGGAAGGTGGTGTCACGCATGCACAACATTTGAAAAAGGACTGTCGATGTATTTCTTTTCCCTTAAAAAAATCCTCTATACAACCTTTAAGTTCCCGCGCACGAAACCGGAAATAGGAAGTGCCAGATCGGTGCTCTGTTTGCCAGTGGGCGTGAGGACGGGAGATGGATACTGAGGAAAGGTAGATGGAAGAGGAAGTTATGGATGTGAAGGATTTGGCAGTGGACTTGTGTGCACCCAAGGTACTGCGGTGGTGAGCGGACGGAAAATATGTAGCGGAGACCGGAGCGACAGACAGGGCCTGAGCGACAGAGCGAGGGACCGGTGCAGAATGAATGAAAACAGGTGGGTAGCTAGCGCGGGCTTGTTCGGGCGGAGCGACTCCGTCACACGCACATCCACTCACACCTGATCCATACACCTGTCCCCGCCCCCGAGAGAGTCTGAAATCTGCTGAAATCCTCCAAGACACTGACATGATCCAGACAAGACAGAGTGTTATTTTGTGCTTCATACACACACCCTCCTCACGGAAAACACACGGAGAAATGCAGATGATGCAGCTTTTAAGTTAAAGTCGATTGATGTGTCCGTCGAAGGAGAAAATCGAGCTGCTGCACGTGAGCTCGGCGTCAATGAGTCGATGGTGAGACGTTGGCGACGAACTGACTCAATGCAAAAAGACGACAAAAGCTTCAGAGGCGATAAAAACAGACGTATATGATATATGTACTTTTTTTTTTTTTTCTTTTAAAATTCTGGAAATTACGGTAAATAAACTGACAAATAAAGGAAGATAAAATGTTCTTAATGTTTTAAAATGTTTGTAATTGGTTCATAAACCCAGTGTACAGAGTAAGTGCACCACATTATTCACTATGTGGGTCAAAAACTTTAGAATTTACTCCTTAATTCACCAGGTTTTCATCAGCATGAGCACAATAAAGCTGTTTTTTTTATTTTTAATCAATAGAATCTGACCCCTGGTGTCCCTGGTGTCTCCCGTCTGCGCTCTGAGGCCCAGATCTGTTTAACTCTCCACAAAGGACAAGGAGGTTAGGAGTTTTTGGAGTCAAAGTGAAATAAAAGTTCCGTGTGTCACCGGAGTGTGTGTCAGGGCCAGTGTGAGCAGAGCCTCACCTCTGCAGCATCACCCGGACACACTGGGGCGTATCGATATCGTCACAGTATGAACCTCACGCTACGATATTTATTGCGATATCGTGGGAAAGCTCACGATGTGGTGAAGAGGCTCATAATTAGGAATGTAACAATATCCAAATCTCTTGGTACAATATTGTCACACTAAACATCCAATCCACTTTATTTCTACAGCACATTTCACAAACAAAGAGTTTACAAAGTGCTGCAGTACATAATAACAACAATAATAAAATGATAAAATAAACTACTAAAATAATACTAGTCTTAAAATAATAAATCCAGTAAAATAAAATAAGAACAAAATCATAGATGAGACATAAATAAATCAATAAAACCAATAAAAACACATAAAAATAAATAAAAAACACAGAGGACCACACAACTCACGCAGTGTTAAAAGCCAGAGAATAAAAGTGGGTCTTTTAAACATCTCACGGTACGATATTTATTGCGCTGTATCGTACCTTTTTCCACTTAAAATGCCTCGACAAGACTTAATCCAAAGAACTAAGACTTAAAAGTGTTAGAACTGTTATTTCTTCTTGTCGTCTGCACTGAAATGGAGCAAAGGATCATGGTCTATGTAGTTCAGTCTGTTTCTTATTTTTTTTAGCTGTTGCTGCACCAAAACTTTTCATTTAAGCAAAGAGACTTGTGATTCGATACATTGTGATGGTCCACGATATTACTGTGAGAACTCTGACGATACCACGATATTTCGGTTATTGTTACGTGCCGAGTGCACACAGAGGTAGAGCCCTGCAGTCCCGCAGGACCCGACGCGAACCAGTGCGACGCGGGGCACATTTTGAAAGCTCGCTGCGGGCGCGAGCGGGAGGGATGATAAACTACGGTCCCGCAAACTAAATATGAGTATAAAGTAAAATATAAAAAAGATGTAAGAATATCATGCATAATTTGTTCTGGAGATTTTATTTGGCATTAATAAAAACATTTTAAGCAGCAGACCGTCCCCCGTCCTTCATTCCGTACAGCCGCGCGAACGGTCGCCCCCGTCCCGTACGCCGCGCGAACGGTCCCCCCCGTCCCTTACGCCGCGCGAACGGTCCCCCCCGTCCCTTACGCCCGCGAACGGTCCCCCCGTCCCTTACGCCGCGCGGACAGTCCCTCCTTCCGTACGTCGTGCTGCCTGCGCAACAAAACCAGAAGTCAACCAGAACTAAACCAGGACTAAACCAGGTCTAAAAACAGCTCTAAACCAGGACTAAAACAGGATTTAGCCAGGACTTAACCACGCCGCGGGATCGCCCACCGCGCCTCCTCTCATACGCAGCCCAATTTCTTTCGCCTCTCCGTGTTTGATAGAGTTTAAGAAAGCAAAGGTTCCCATCCTGCGGGACTTGCGGGTGGGCGCGGGACAAAATATTGCAGATGCGGGCGGGAACGGGACTGGAAATTACAATTCTTTGCGGGAGCGGGACGGAGCGGGACTCAAAATTCTGTCCCACGCAAACTTCTACACAGAAGTATTTCAGCCTCATTGTCAGGAAGAGGTTTATATTCTGACAGATACAGATCATCATTTTAGACGAGCTCATCCTGGACCAGTGTGTGAGAAAGAACCTCTGTGTGTGTGTGTGTCTGTGTGTGTGTGTGTGTGTGTGTGTGTGTGTGTGTCAGAGTCTTACACTGGAGATGTCGACGAGGAAGTTGTCGAACAGTTTCCAGATGTGATTGGACGTGTAAATCTCCTTCATTTCCACCTCAGTGTCCACGTAACAGTGATTGACAAAATTGACGTACGCAGTTTTCACCTGGAAACAACAACAACAACAAAAAAACACCTTTTATGAACGAAGAAAATGAAAAGATATACAGACAGTGGAGTGAGTTATGGAGCTGTTCGGCGACTCTCAGAAAAAAATATCTTATTGCAATTCTGCCGAGTATGTGATTAGATTTGCCATGTTTTTGTAGGATTCAGTTTAAAGTGACGGAAATAAAAATGTCTAACTAATACAAGAATCCAGTGCATTTCAGATTTACAGTTATCTGCTTTTATGTAACATGGTACAGCAAAGTTTGTTATTCTGTTTAAAGGTCAAAACTTTTAATGTTCCTCCTCAAAAACAGACCTGGAGTTGTGTTTGTTTCATTCACACATGTTTGAGTAATGTATTTTTCAGACTATAACTCGCACTTTTTTCATGGTTTGTGTGTTTCTTGTGACTTATATATTCAATGTTTCACTCTGACAGCCTCAAGAGGCTCTAGTCTGGTGTGTGAGTATCTGCTGCTCCTGTTGCTCCTGTACCACTGTCACTTGGCTCTACTGCGCATGTCTCCTGCAGAAAGAGCCTCTGTCCTGCTGCAGGTCGTGAAATCTGCAGCTGAAAACAGTAATCGAACAGCAGAAAGAAAGTTTGGAGTGAGAGAGAAACTTGTGACACCGGGAGGATGAAACATGAAACTTTCCTGAAGTGACTGGATGGATGGACAAAGTCTGGACTTCAGTGACACCGAAACCATCCTGTTGAGATTCAGAAAGACCCAATAATTCTAACTGGAACTGATGCTGAGTCTGACGACAGCGACACAGAAGAGTTTGTGTCGCTCTGTTTACCTCCGGAGGTCGAGGACGAGTTGTTCAGAAGTGACACCGAGGATGAAGAATTGAATGGATTTAGTGATTTGGAGTGAGATGGAGAGTTTGGTTAAACTTGTTCTGTTGTTTATGTTATAGTTTATCTGAAGAACTGTGAAATATGTGACGTTAACAGTCTGTTCTTCTCTCTTCTATTGTTTTTACTACAATTTGACTTTACACAGGAAACGTCTGCTCCTGATTTCTCATTTTATCAAATAAATTTCCCCCAAAAAGTGCGACTTAAATATTTTTTCTTCTTCATTACACATTTTTTGGCTGGTGCGACTTACACCCCAGAGCGACTTATAGTCCGAAAAATACAGTAACTCTTCATTATTCTTTATTATTGTCTACATCTCCAAAGCTCAAAATGCTCTGTTCCACCTTTTAAGTTAACAGCTCCTTTAGTTCAGTAGAAATTGGCAATTTCAGGGCTGAAATCATCCAGATGATTCCAGTGAAGGTGAATGGAGTTTAAAAACACAGATTTTAAAGTACCGATACCTCGGGGATGCACTGAGGGTCTGCCACCACTTTGACGATGTCGTCCAGGGGCAGGAGAGAGTGGCACTTCAGTTCTGTGTAGACGTTCTTGCCCTCGGTGCAGCCGGCGAGCAGCTCCACCAGGGTCATGTGATACGCCAGCGCCCCGCCCTCGTCCCCGCGCTCGCGCTCGGACCCCATCATCTGCAGCAGCACCGGGAACGACGAGCGGTCGTTATAAAAGACCAGCACGTCCTCGCCGCCGTTCACCAGCTGTGGACACAGATCAGGGAGGAACAGAGGGTTAAACCGATGAACAAAACACAAGAGACTGAAGAAAACTTTACTACTGATACTGAGCAGTAGTAACACAATATTCCCTGGGATGTGATGCTAACTGTAGGCACTGCTCTGTCTGAGGCTTTATTATACTGGAATTTTAAGAAAATCTGACATAAAGAACAGATTTAACTGGAACTACAACTAGTGAGATGATTTTGTCCCTCTCAAATAACATTAGACAGTTTTTCAGTGGGCAACTCTCATCTTTATGTTAAAAATCAAACTCCTAAACCGGACCATGAATGTTTGTTCATATAAAGCAGTGGGGGGCAATTATTTTTTCCATGGGGCCACAAGAGAAACAGAACATAATATGGAGGGACCGGAGAAAAATGCTTAACTCAATTCTGCAAAATATGAATTGTGCGCACACGTCTTGATTTATGTATTGTCTCCCTGACATAAAAGCAATCTATGAAGTCAAATGATAAAATATGCTTTTTTAAAATTCCAAATAATCTTAAACGGGCCAGTCAGAGTCGACCAAACTGTATGTGGTCTGATATAAAGTTTTAATTTTTTCTTTTAGTTTTCTTACACTTTTCTGGCTGTGTTTGCTATTGTGTACACTGGGTCACCATGAGAACTGCTGAACATTCTGCCATAGATGAACACGCAGTACACCCCCAGTGTGATGTCTCTGTGTCAGACGATAAGATGAAAGTACAGAACACTTTTCTAACCTCGGTCATGACTTTGTCTTGACATTTCTTCACAAACTTGCCGTCCGCCCTGACGATGGTTTGGAGAAATCGCAGATACTGAACGTGGCGTCCGTGAGTTTCGATGGAGTGGACAAAATGGTGGACGACGCGGTCGCTGATCTCGTGGCACAGCTGGTAATTATTCATAAAGATGTGACGCATCGTCTCCGCCTCCAGCAGCTGAGAGTCACAAAGAAAATCTTAGAAAAAAACTGTAAAATGCATTTTGTATGAATATTTTCTGTTACTCTGTCCCATGGCACCAGTGCATAGAACCTCATCACTGCAGGATTTCAATATTTGTAAGTACCGTATTTTTTGGACTATAAGGAGCACTTAAAATCCTTTAATTTTCTCAAAAACTTACAATGCATCCTATAATCCAGTGCACCTTATGTATCGATTCTGATTATCTTATTGACCTCGAACTGATTTTATGTGGTACAGGACGCTCAAAAACTCTGTCAAAATGTTTTAGTACAACTTTGGTAAACTACGAAGACGCATTTGCATGGATTGTTGGAGCGTTACAGCTGCCGTAGTCATAGCCGTAATGTGCTTTAGTTCAGCGCTTATAGTTTATGCAAATTAGCCATGTGGTTTTGTTTCTGTAAAACGTAAACAAATGTACACAAAGCTGCATTAACCACATTATTATTTAATGTATATTTGAGTCGTCCTCATAGGAAATAAAAAAACAAACTTAAATGATCCACCCACATTCACATTCATAAAACACATTCACCAAGACAGGGAGACAACGCCGGGCGAATTACGCCACGATCTGCCGATGGATCGTGGACGTCTGGACTAAGGATCAGACTCAAGTGTCGTCCGTTTGTTTCTCTTAATGTGACTTATATTCAGGTGCACCTTATGTATGAAAATAGATGAAAGAATTCAACATTATTGAAATTACGCACTATAATCCGAGTTATAGACCGAAAAATACGGTATTCAGTTTGTTTTTGTATTATGTCTGTATTCAGTGTTGTTGCTCGGCGCTCACCCCTGGAGTGAGGAACAGGTTCAGGTGTTTGTGGAGCAGAGCTTGGTTCTGAGGGTTTCCTCTGCAGAAGTTCTGCAGAAACGTGTGAGCCAGCGTCATGATCTCGTTCATCTTCTCGTCGGTCTGCGGAGAAGAAACAAAGTTAATGTCAGTGCAGGTTCGTGGAGCTCAGACGAGTCTCACCTTCTCGTAGGGGATCTGCAGCAGGTCCAGCACCACCGTGTGGGCGCCCATGTTCTTCAGGAGCCTCTGCTGCTGCACACGGCTCTTCTTACTGGGATAACAGAGTTTACTCAGACGCAGGAGGATCTGCACACACACAAATGATATTATATTTATATTCACACGATGAGAGGAACATTATAAGTGTGCACAAACAAAGATCTATGATATACACACACATACAGTGAGTTATAGAGCTGGTTTGGTGACTCTTAGAAAAATATCTCATTGCAATTCTGCCGAGTATGTGAGTAGATTTGCCATGTTTTTGTAGGATTCAGTTCAAAGTGACTGAAATAAAAATGTTTAACTAATACAAGAATCCAGTGCATTTCAGATCTACAGTTATCTGCTTTTATGTAACATCATACAGTAAAGTTTGTTATTCTGCTTAAAGGCAAAACTGACTCTTGTGCGTTTTAAGTCTTGTTATAATGTTCCTCCTCAAAAACAGACCTGGAGTTGTGTTTTGTTTCATTCACACATGTTTGAGTAAAGTATTTTTCAGACTATTGCACTTTTTTTCATGGTTTGTGTGTTTTTTGTGACTTATACTGCAGTGCGACTTAAATATTAAAATGTTTTTTGTGAAGTGGTGGGAGGTTCTAGTCTTGTGTGTGAGTATCTGCTGCTCCTGTTCCTCCTGCACCACTGTCACTTGGCTCTACTGCGCATGTCTCCTGCAGAAAGAGCCTCTGTCCTGTCTGTATCACGTCAGTCGATCGCACCGTTACTTCTGCACCACTGAACAATTTAACATTTAAGTGACTTCAGTGACACCGAAACCATCCTGTCAGGAGAGGAGAAAATTCAGTTTGTGGACTGGACAAAAGTTAGTTTGGTTGAAGACGTTTCTCAGTTCATCCAAGCTGCTTCTTCAGTTCTGGTCAGACGCTGGTGACACTTCCTTATATCTGTCTGCAGGGAGGAGCTAACTACACTGAAACTACTCTGAAACTAACACACACACTTGTTTACAGTTTCTGTTTGTTAGTTCGGCCTATTGACCTGTACAGGGTGTGGGGGTCTAATTATCAGAACAATTCATGTCCATAACGGAGCTCCACACCTCTGGTCCTGACCTGACTACACCTGTTGTTCTCTTGTTTGTTTTGTTTTAGGTTTGAGGATGGATTTGTAAATAGGAGACAGATGGTGTCTGAGTCCATTTCTGTTTAGAGAAGAATTCTCTTTCTTAACAAAAATGTCTTCTCTCGCTCACCTTTCAAACCAATTCTTTTCTCTGGCTAAAATCTGAAGAAGCAGCTTGGACGAGCTGCGAAACGTCTTCAATCAAACTAACTTTTGTCCAGTCGACAAACTGAATTTTCTCCTCGCCGTGGATTCTACCTGGACGACTGAGGGATTCTTCACACATCCTGTCGGGATTCAGAAAAACCCGAATAATTCTAACTGGAACTGATGCTGAGTCTGACGACAGCGACACAGAAGAGTTTGCGTCGCTCTGTTTACCTCCGGAGGTCGAGGACGAGTTGTTCAGAAGTGACACCGAGGATGAAGAATTGAATGGATTTAGTGATTTGGAGTGAGATGGAGAGTTTGATAAACTTGTTCTGTTCTGTTGTTTATGTTATAGTTTATCTGAAGAACTGGGAAATATGTGACGTTAACAGTCTGTTGTAGGGACGGGCATTCGATGAAATTTTCTGAATCGATCGTCGGAAGAATTAACGATCAATTATCGATTAATCATTAACGTTTTTATATTAAAATTGATCATCATTATTATTACTATCTGCACTAATCTGCATAAATAAATTCAACTTTACGACATATAAACATAACGACTCTAGATCCACATCAGCTGTTTGACATTATAATGTGTTTAATTCAGTTTTGTTCAAATCTCACAGAAACAAAACTTAAAACCACATCACTAATTTACATAAACTAAGTGAAGATAAAACTCCAGCTCTTGTGTCGCTGATGTGGTTCAACTTGTGTCAGATTAAAAGACATGACTCAGGTGAATACAGGTCAGTGTGACCAGATTTGTGTTTGTCAAAACCAGGACAGCGTACGGGGGGAGGGGGGCGGGGCCTCGTCATCCACATTGAGCGACTCTCACCTGGAAAAACTTTTTCCCACTGGACACAGAAACATATGTGCTGCTTTATCCACTGTGCACATGGACTCACACTTGTCCCAACGCAACGGAAAGTGTGGAATTTCTTCTACAAATCCTGGTTAAATCCACATTTGTGCTTCGGTTCGTTACAGACTGACCCACTGTTTGTGTCTCGCTCCTTCTGATGCAGAGACACATGTTCACACCTGTTTGGTCACGATACACACAGCAACCTGCATTCGGTTTGTCGATTAAAATGAACATAATCAATGAAATTCTTACTGATCAATTATCGATTAATCGATTAATCATGCCCATCCCTAGTCTGTTGTTCTCTCTTCTGTTGTTTTTACTACAACTTGACTTTACACAGGAAATGTCGGCTCCTGGTCTCCACAAAAAGTGCAACTTATACTCTGGTGCGACTTATAGTCCGAAAAATAGGGTAACACATACATATATCCAGATGTGGAGTGTGTGAGCGTCACCTCTTTAACGATGTTGTAGTTGTTGGCTTTGTTGCTGTCGATCTGGGGTTTGTGGTCTCCGTCCTGAACTGGACTCAGAACCGTTTCCTGTCAGAGGAGGAAATGAGTTTGTTAAAACCAGAAAAAGTGTGACAAATGTAAGAGAAACACTCAACGGTTTTCACACTTTAAGACGAGACTTTAGCAGAGTGTGGATCGTTTACAGCGTCACGTCCGAGCAACACAAAACCTCCACACACACACAAAGAGACAGAGTGTGTGTGTATCTGTCTGACCTCCATGTTGTGCTGTTTGTGTGTGTTTGTGTGTGTATTACGTGTGTGTGTGTGTGTGTGTGTCTTACCCTCTATGTTGTGTTCTTTGTGTATTACGTGTGTGTGTTTCTGTGTGTATTATGTGTGTGTGTGTGTGTGTGTGTGTCTGACCTCTACGCTGTGTTCTTTGTGTGTGTCTTTCTGTGTATTACGTGTGTGTGTGTGTGTGTGTGTGTGTGTATGTGTGTGTGTGTGTGTGTGTGTGCGTGTGTGTGTCTGACCTTGATGTTGTGTTCTTTGTGTGTGTTTCTGTGTGTATTACGTGTGTGTGTGTGTGTGTGTGTGCGTGTGTGTCTGACCTCGATGTTGTGTTCTTTGTGTGTGTTTCAGTGTGTATAACGTGTGTGTGTGTGTGTGTGTGTGTGTGTGTGTGTGTGTGTGAGATTGATGTTGTGTTCTTCGTGTGTGTGTATTACGTGTGTGTGTGTGTGTGTGTGTGTGTGTGTGTGTGTGTGTGTGTGTGTGTGTGTGTGTGTGTGTGTGTGTTGTGTGTGTGTGTGTGTGTGTGTGTGTGTGTGTGTGTGTGTGTGTGTGTGTGTGTGTGTGTGTGTGTATTATGTGTGCGTGTGTGCCTGACCTCGATGTTGTGTTCTTTGCCCGGTCGTAGTTCTCCGCTCTTCTCCACCCACAGCTCAGATTTCTCCACCGTGAGGCGGAGCTGGTCCAGGTCCGTCTTGATCTGTTTGTAGTTCTCCACATCCTGTTCTGACACACACACACACACACACAGCACACACACAGACACACACACACACACACACACACACAGACACACACACACACACAGACACACACACACACACACACAGACACACACACACACACACACACACACACAGCACACACACACACACACACACACACACACACACACACACACACACACACACACACAGACACACACACACACACACACACACACACACACACAGACACACACACACACACACACACACACAGCACACACACACACACACACACAGACACACACACACACACACACACACACACACACACACACACACACACAGACACACACACACACACACACACACACAAACACACACACACACACACACACACACACACACACACACACATATAAGAGAATTAAAGAAATAACTCCAACGATTGTGATCAAAACACGACTCGACTCCAGTCAAATGAAGCTCATCGAGGCTGCAGTTATGGAGCATTAAGTAAAACTAAAGAAAATGGTCCCTCAACCAACGATTAGTTAGTTTTATTTCAAACATTATTCTATCAACACAGACATTAACATGTAGCCTGATTCATCAGCTGGTTTCACTTCGTAGAAACCATGTGACCTCAAGAGTTTTAGGATTTGTTCTCTCGACGGTAGGTGGGTAATTTTTTTATTTAACCAATCGCTGCTGTTTGGTTGTGACGTATGTAATGCTCCAAATCCCATAGGAAGACAGACAATAACTTCTTTCCCCGAGATAAAATTCACCAAACATTCTCTTTGTTCCAGTTTTAAATCCTCGATCTCGGGAATCGTTGACAACACGGAATATATGGCTCTTCGCTGATTGGTCTGTGCTACAACTTCCAGGGTTCATGCAAACCGTGTGTCAAACTCATTTTGGTCCGGGGGCCGTATCCAACCTACTGTGATCCCAAAGTGTCCGGATCAGAAAACTCATGTCATATAAACCCCAAAAATAACAATAAGTTCAAATATTTGTGCAGAGAAACACAAATCTATTACAGAAATCTTTTTTAATTGATGAACTCTTTCTTTTACAAAATATTATAATATTATGAACAACCTGAAACTTTAAGAAAAATTAATTTCAACACAAAGTTTTAACATGAACTTGTCTGTAAACAGGAATAAGTCAATTTTTGTTGTAAAATCCTGCACTCGGCTCCACTTTTCTCATGTTGGACATTTTTCTGATGAGGGTGTCACGGTCAACAGTCAAAACGATCGTCCTTTAAGAGCGTTTGGAAAGAGACAAGTCTTCATTTGTGCTGCTCTGGTGGGAGGGGCCACGTACAGAGACGCTGGAGACGCTGCTGTGATAAACACCACAGAAAATTAACAAGATTTTAATAGAAAATATAATTTAAATATTTTAGTAGAAAATCAGCTGAGGTCCAGATCAAAGGTCTTGGAGGGCCGGATCTGGCCCCTGGGCCGTATGTTTGACACTCCTGGTCTCGTGTATTCTGATTCCTGATCTAGTCGCTGGAGAGAAATTAAATTGAGCGGAGGCACTAGTTGAACCCAGCCTGGATAATTCGTATGGTGTAATAACAGATTTTCTTCGGGTGTTTTGTGGAGTGGGTGAGACTGTTTTTAGTGGCACCAGTGACTCTGCAAACACAAGGACTGGATGGAATATTTTAAAAAAGTGTCTCCACACGTCGTCTCCAACACTCTGGACCACGAGGAACTGAGGCCTTATGTCCAAATTTCCGAACTGTCCCTTTAACCCGCCCGGTATCTTAATCCGCGCCGACAGAGCGGTTGGTTCTAGTGAATAGCGTTGCCGTGGTTACCTGCTTGAAGGCCTGCAGCACCTCGGCTCTCTGGCTGAAGTGTTTGAAGATGAGCTGCAGAGATCCAGACACCAGCGGGGGGTAGTCCTGCATGATCAGGTGAATTAAAACCCGCAAAAACGTGCGACCGCCCTCGTCGTCCAGCTCCACGGCGCAGACCTCAGTGCTGGAACAATCGACAACACGTGAGGCAGAGGAAACGTTGAACGGTTGAAAGGTTTAAGAAGGTTTGATTTTGTTTGTGAGATTCTTGCTCTCACCTTCCTGCAAACATGCACTCAGCACGGGTCGCGATCTCGTCGATGTCTGGGTCTGACGCTGTGGAGAAAAACAGAAAAATTTAATTGCAATTCTTTTGTCAAAGAAATGTTGTTAACTTCGAAATTTCACAAAATTGTTTAACACATTTAAGTTTTTGTTCCAGTTTTGTCGATAAATTCACTGACTTTGAATGTCAAGGGGCCCGGTCAAGCAGAAGTAAACAACAAGGCCAAAAATTCAAGTTAATTCATCTGATATAAAAATGTATTGAACAGATACATATGTACTCTAGTTTATCAAACTGTTGACCTTTTTTCTGTACCATTTTTGGTTCTAAAGTTCCATCCGTTTTAAACAGACCATGAATGAAACATGGAACAAAAATTATTTCCCAAATTTCAAAGACCTGAAAATCATGTAAATAAATGGATGTATTTCATCATATCTTGTGTTTTTCCATCTTTGAACTGTTGATGAAGGTTCATGATTTTTCACAAAAAAAAAAAAAGTATTTAAAATGATAAAAATTTGCTATACGGTACAAATAAACACACCACAGCCGCAGAGTCGATCTCCTCCGCTGATGGTTTTATGTAATAAAAACATTAAAGTCTCTCTCAACCTGGTCCATCGTTCTGGGAAAAGACCAAGGATAGAGGCCAACGGACGACCTGGACACACATCAACTATTTTTCTCCCGTTCGTCCATGGCAGAGGTGTTCACACTTTTTCATCATGTGATCTACTTACAAAATGACCAAGTCAAAATGATCTTCCTAATACAAAGTCAAACAAACTGCACTGAAACACTCTGTGCCCCTTTTTTGGACCCTCCCCCACAGTTTGAGAACCTCTTCTTTAAGAGAACTTCCTCTGGCACTTTACACAAAACTGTGAAAAAAGTGAAGGAAGATTTTTAAACCTGTTTTTTAAAGTTCCAAACTGGAGTTTCATTCTTTTCTGGTTTTGCAGTGATATTTACCAGCCTCTGCACGTTTACCAAACCAAACGCACATCGTGACAAACACAGATGCATTTGTCACTTTTGTTAGACAAACTTCAGCCAAATGTGGCAGTAGGTCTGTTCTGTAGATCCGCTCTATGCTGTAGACCTGCTTTGTGCCAACACTGGAACACAAAATTTAGACTGGTTTTTGCTTCACGTTTGGTCTTGCTCTTCTAATCAGCCGCACTGTGGGAGGGGCTTGTGTTGGCTGTACGCAGGAAGGAGCGAGAGCGTGAAAAGGCGAGGGGCGGCGTGCTGACGTGAGGCAGGTGGACAGGTAGGATGTTTAGGAAGTTGAACCTGCCCTGTGATGCACGCTGGTACACGAGGGCACACGCTGTCGCAGACGAGCCGTGCATAGGGAGCGTGTGTGTTTGTGATGCGCCGTAGAGTCTCCGCGGGTTTCAAATGAGCGCACAGGCTGCACTGAGACGCCCCACACGCTCCTGCACCCGCTACAAGTTTATTACCAACAGCAGCGGCCGGAATGAAATATGATCACACTTGTTGAGTGTCAGACCTCGAGTGAGAGACAAGACCGAGTCCAAACGCGATCGAGTCCGAGACGAGACACGGCGATCTACCCACACGACCTTGGCGATTGACGTATTTAGCAGCACTGGTCCACGGCGTCCAAGACACATGTTGGGAGCATCTAAACTCAAACGCAAACGTCCAAACAGAGGCATCCAAGGCGTTTTTTGACACCTTGGTCTGAACAAATCTTAACACATAACATATTTAGATCACCATGTTACCTTCTTCCTTTCTCTTTGCTCCCCATGCTAAGTCACTCCCCCTTTAGAGCAATATCACAACACTATCAGCGTGCGTCCCGCTGATGACTGTGTACAGTTTTGTACCATGTTTTTGTAAGTTTATGGAGAAATATCGTGTGGGAGGTGTAGGTTGGTGGGTGGAGCCTCGTACAAGAAAAGGAAAGATCACGAGATTAATCAAACATGCATGGATGACTCTAATACCTCTTCAGACATGCTTTTCACGTCAGAACATGGTAGAAAAAATGCATAATACCGCCAGTTTATTTTTTTTATCTTGAAAAATGACTTACGAATGAAAAAACTCTCCGTGGATAAGTTCTTGTCTCCAAATTCTTTCTTGTAAATCGACAGCAGGTACGTGATCCTGTAGTCCAGACGAACACTTAAGATGAACTAGAAACAAACAAAAAAAGAAATTATGAGTAGAGGGATTAAAATAGAACAAATGAAAGTTACTGACTGATCAAATTCTATACTTTTTGAACTTTTCTTTTCTTTTTTTAAATTACAAAACTAATATCTAGTGTGATTCAGCAGTTTTTATGCAGATTTAAACACAAAATTTTGTTGTTTCAGGAGGAAATTACATCACTTCAAAAACTGCAAATTTGCTAACTGCAGTCGTTGAAATTGTGATTTAGATTTTGCTTCACGTTGCAGCTCTGTTCTGAACCTACCTGCAGGATTTCTAGAGTACGGTGGCCGACGGGGGCCAAACTGCAACGGCCCAGTGTGTCTCAGAGAAAACAGCTTCAAGTACAGAAATGATGTGGTTTTTCTTGGTTTTCATCGTTTTGTGGTTTGTATCTTTTCTCTATTTGCAGCGCCTGTGATGATTTAGTTTAGTTTATTGATTGATTTATTTGAGACAGGGACAGTGCACAGTTTACATGAACCTTCACAGGGGAGACGTTTGTACCTGGTTGTAGCAAGACTAATTTCCACCTTTAGTCTCTGGGCTTTCAAAACTTTTCCATGACTTTTTCATGAGCTAAAGTGAATTTTCCATGACTTTACAGCACCGACATGTGTAGAATTGATCAGACTTTTAGGGCTAAATCTGAAATGGGTCTGGTCAAGTGGTAACGGAGGGAAACAGGGGCAGATTTTTGACATTCAAATGTCTCTTATTCAGAAACTAGAGGGACTATTGAAATAAGTAAAGTATCAGAATGTAGGAAAGAGTTACACTCCAACAGGGTCAAGTTAAACCTGTGAGATTCTTTCAAGTTCAAGACAAAAAATTTAAAAACTCATGTCGGTAACGGAGGGAATGAAATATGCAGCACTTTTTGGTCAATAAATCCAAACAGTGATAACTCTTGGTTCTCACTTCCATATCCTTAACAAACTGGTTTGAATATTTGCTTCATATAGTTTTCTACCATATGGTACAAGATTAGGTTGAAAAACCTCTTGACTTTTTGACTCATGAGATTTTTTATTAAGAAAGTTCATGGTAACGGAGGGAAAAGTAACGGAGGGAAAATTGTACAAACAAGTAGAAGGTGCAGGATTTTACATCATTTGTCGCTTTTTTCTTCTGAAAACTTTAATATTACTTCAAAATGAAAGGAAACTATTTCTATAAAATATGTCAGTTCCTTCCAAGAACATTTTTTATCATTTTAATACTTTAAAAAAAAATCCTGTACCTTCATCAACAGTTCAAAGATGGAATAACACAAGATATGATGAAATACAAACATTTATTTACATGATTTGCAGGTCTTTGAAATTTGGGAAATAATTTTTGTTCCATGTTTCATTCATGGTCTGTTTAAAACGAATGGAACTTTAGAACCAAAAATGGTCCAGAAAAAAGGTCAACAGTTTGATAAACTAGAGTACATATGTATCTGTTCAATACATTTTTATATCAGATGAATTAACTTGAATTTTTGGCCTTGTTGTTTACTTCTGTTTGACCGAGCTCAGATGTTTAACTCTTTCCTCTCACCTTATGGTTTGGGATTATAGTTTTTGAACATTTTAATCCTGTCAGCGCATTTATTGTCGTCTCTTTTAAACAAAAGGCGCAGACTGACATGGTTCATGTTCTGTAGTTGTTGTTTTTGCTTATTTTGATGCATCTTTTCCTGTACTGTTGTGTGCCCTTGGTGTTTTATTTTGACATGAGTCATGTCTGCTTGTAGTTTGAGTTTGACTTCCTGTCTGTTGATTGTTCTCCCCACCCTGATGTGTTTCACCGGTGTTTGTGTGCTTTTATTCCCTGCCTTCTCCTCTGCCCTTTGTTGGTCCATTGTATTTGTCATTGTCAGTATCTTGTCTTGTCCTGTCAGTTTAGTTTTGAATTTTGAAACTTTTGGATTTATGGATTTTTTTTTTTTAGATCTTTGTTATAAAAGAACTTAGACAGCAGTTCTGCATTTTGGATTCTCCCTGTTTCTACGTGACACAGACGTTAACAAATAATGAGAAAAGAACAGAACACTGGAGCTGTGTGAAAGAGAGACTAAAATTCCATGACTTTTCCAAAACTTTCATTGACTTTACAAAATTCCATGACTTTTTGAGGCCTAGAAAATGACGTTTTCAATTTCAATGAATTTTCCAGGATTTCCATGACCGTGGGAACCATGAACTGTGTGTCTGAGTTTGTGAATTTGCATCATTTCTAAATGACTTAATGACATTTCAAGACTAAACCGGGACTAAACGGAGACTAAATGTGGACTAGACCAGGCTGAGGGCCCCACCTTTAGATAGAACCAAACCAGGACTAAACTAGGACTAAAGCAGGCCTAAAACAGGACTAAACTGGGACTAAACCGGGACCAAACCAGGATAATAATACTCCCTACAACTGTACAACAACTCACCCTTATGTAACAGATAATACTCCCTACAACTGTACAACAACTCACTCTTATTTAACAGATAATACTCCCTACAACTGACAACACAATGTAACAGATAATACTACAACTGTACAACAACTCACCCTTATGTAACAGATAATACTCCCTACAACTGTACAACAACTCACACTTATGTAACAGATAATACTCCCTACAACTGTACAATGTAACAGATAATACTCCCTACAACTGCACAATGTAACAGATAATACTCCCTACAACTGTACAACAACTCACCTTATGTAACAGATAATACTCCCTACAACTGCACAATGTAACAGATAATACTCCCTACAACTGTACAACAACTCACCCTTATTTAACAGATAATACTCCCTACAACTCATCCTTATGTAACAAATAATACTCCCTACAACTGTACAATGTAACAGATAATACTCCCTACAACTGTACAACAATTCACCATTATGTGAAAATAATACCCCCTACAACTGTACAATGTAACAGATAATACTCCCTACAACTGTACAATGTAACAGAGAATACTCCCTGCAACTGCACAATGTGACAGATAATACTCCCTACAACTGCACAATGTAACAGATAATACTCCCTACAACTGTACAACAATTCACCATTATGTGACAAATAATACTCCCTACAACTGTACAACTCACACTTATGTAACAGATAATACTCCCTACAACTGTACAATGTAACAGATAATACTCCCTACAACTGTACAATGTAACAGATAATACTCCCTACAACTGTACAATGTAACAGATAATACTCCCTACAACTGTACAATGTAACAGATAATACTCCCTACCCTGAACCGTGTGTCTGAGTTTGTGAATTTGCATCATGTCTGTACTTGAAGCAGTTTGGGCCGTTGCGGTGCGTTTGGACCCCGTTGGACCCCGCTGGACCCCGCTGGACCCCGTGGACCCCGTTGGACCCCGTTGGACCCCGTTGGACCCCGTTGGACCCCGTTGGACCCCGTTGGACCCCGTTGGACCCCGTTGGACCCCGTTGGACCCCGTTGGACCCCGTTGGACCCCGTTGGACCCCGTTGGACCCCGTTGGACCCCGTTGGACCCCGTTGGACCCCGTTGGACCCCGTTGGACCCCGTTGGACCCCGTTGGACCCCGCTGGACCCCGTTGGACCCCGTTGGACCCGGACCCCGTTGGACCCCGTTGGACCCCGTTGAACCCGCTGGACCCCATTGGACCCCATTGGACCCCGTTGGACCCCGTTGGACCCCGTTGGACCCCGCTGGACCCCGCTGGACCCCGTTGGACCCCGTTGGACCCCGTTGGACCCCGCTGGACCCCGTTGGACCCCGCTGGACCCCGCTGGACCCCGTTGGACCCCGTTGGACCCCGGCCCGTGACGCTCTGAACCCACCTGCAGGATCTCGATGATCTTCAGCTTGGTGTCCATGACCATGACGTCTTCGGTGTCCGGGAGGAAGTGGCCCTTGGCGTATCTGAGCGAGGGCGGCGAGTCGGGGAGGCTGTGCGGCACCCCTCTGCTCATCACCATCTGAGTCATCATCTCGCCCACGCCGTGGATCGTACGCAGGACGTTATTGCCTGAAAACAAAAAAACTAAATCACATTCTGTTCAGAAACTTAAGACCATTTAAAAGTCAGTGAACAGTTTCTGACACAAGACTGACTCATGTGAGGTTTAAGTCCGTGTTATAAAGTTATTTTCTCCTCAAAAACAGATTTGTGTTTTATTTTGTTTTAAATCAAACTTCCTGAGCTCATGTTCTCCTTTATAAATCTAATCTCTGACCCCGAGGATCATTTTGTTCTAATTGTGACGTTTTAAATCACAATACTGACTCTAAAACGAGCTGACAAGGACTAAACCAGGACTAAACCAGGACTAAACCAGGACTAAACCAGGACTAAACCAGGACTAAACCAGGACTAAACCAGGACTAAACCAGGTCTAAAACTAAACCAGGACTAAACCAGGACTAAACCAGGTCTAAACCAGGTCTAAACCAGGACTAAACCAGGACTAAACCAGGTCTAAACCAGGTCTAAATCAGGACCAAACCAGGTTGTGGTCTTGAAAATAAACGATTAAAGATTCCAAATACTTCAAATATGACTTCAGGTTCATAAACGTCGAGAGGAAACAAATATAACTTGACTAAACGCTCTGAAAAATCCATTTTGCAGAACAGATCTACTTTAAAGACGCACTGTGTAACTTTTCCACCAGCCCGTTACTCTGAAAACCTGTGTCCGTGTTTAGTTGGCAGAAGATTTGGGAGTTGGAGTTTTAAAAATCACACATATTGTGCAGAATAAGTGTGCGCGGAGACGGGGAACAGTACCGGCCTCTGGGCTCTTGCTGAGTTTGTTCATGAAGGTGAGTGGGTGCTGGACGATATCGAGGATGGCCAGCAGGGTGCGCGTGAGCCGCAGGAGCTCGCTGAAACTGTAGAAGCCAAAGTAAACCAAGTTACGAGCCAAGTTCACCACCTGAGGGAGACGAGGCAAACAGGTCAGAACATAAACATGACCAAACTTTCACCAAGGAAAATCATAAGAAATATACACACGGGATATTAAAAATGAATTTATGTATGGACAGAGACAAACCAGGACTGAACCAGGTCTAAACCAGGTCTAAACAAGGACTAAACAAGGACTAAACCAGGACTAAACAAGGACTAAAGGACTAAACCAGGACTAAACCAGGTCTAAACCAGGTCTAAACCAGGTCTAAACAAGGACTAACTAAAAGGACTAAACCAGGTCTAAACCAGGTCTAAACCAGGACTAAACCAGGACTAAACCAGGTCTAAACCAGGTCTAAACCAGGACTAAACCAGGAACCAGGACTAAACCAGGACTAAACCAGGACTAAACCAGGTCTAAACCAGGTCTAAACAAGGACTAAACCAGGTCTAAACCAGGACTAAACCAGGTCTAAACAAGGACTAAACCAGGTCTAAACAAACTAAACAGGACTAAACCAGGACTAAACCAGGACTAAACCAGGACTAAACCAGGACTAAACCAGGTCTAAACCAGGTCTAAACCAGGTCTAAACCAGGACTAAACCAGGTCTAAACCGGACTAAAAGGACTGAACCAGGTCTAAACCAGGTCTAAACCAGGTCTAAACAGGACTAAACCAGGTCTAAACCAGGACTAAACCAGGACTAAAAGGACTAAACCAGGACTGAACCAGGTCTAAACCAGGTCTAAACCAGGTCTAAACCAGGACTAAACCAGGACTGAACCAGGTCTAAACCAGGTCTAAACCAGGTCTAAACCAGGTCTAAACAAGGACTAAACAAGGACTAAACAAGGACTAAACCAGGACTAAACCAGGACTAAACCAGATCTAAACCAGGTCTAAACCAGGTCTAAACCAGGACTAAACCAGGACTGAAACAAGACTAAACCAGGTCTAAACCAGGACTAAACCAGGTCTAAACAAGGACTAAACCAGATCTAAACCAGGTCTAAACCAGGTCTAAACCAGGACTAAACCAGGACTGAAACAAGACTAAACCAGGTCTAAACCAGGACTAAAACCAGGACTAAACCAGGGCTAAACTAAACCAGGACTAAACAAGGACAAAATCAGGACAAAATCAGGACTAAACAAGGACTAAACAAGGGCTAAACCAGGTCTAAACAAGGACTATACCAGGTCTAAACCAGGTCTAAACAAGGACTAAACCAGGACTAAACCAGGACTAAACAAGGGCTAAACAAGGGCTAAACAAGGGCTAAACCAGGACTAAACAAGGACTAAACAAGGACTAAACCAGGACTAAACCAGGGCTAAACCAGGACTAAACAAGGCCTATACCAGGTCTAAACGAGGTCTAAACAAGGACTAAACAAGGACTAAACCAGGACTAAACCAGGACTAAACAGGACTAAGCAAGGACGAAACAAGAACTAAACCAGGAAGGATTAAACTAGGACTAAACTAGGTCTAAACCAGGACTAAAAAAGGACTAAACCAGGATTAAACCAGGTCTAAAATCAAGACTAAACTCAAGACTCCAATCAGGACTAAAATCAGGACTAAACCGGGACTAAACAAGGATTAAACAGGGACTAAACCAGGACTGAAACAAGACTAAACCAGGTCTAAACCAGGTCTAAATCAGGACTAAACCAAGACTAAACCAGGACTAAACAAAGACTAAACCAGGATTAAACCAGGCCTAAATAAGGACTGAAACCAGGACTAAACCAGGTCTAAACCAGGACTAAACCAGGACTAAACAAGGCTGTGGAATGTAAATATGATGGAAACTTTCTTAAAGGAAAATAAAAAAAACCACATCATTTTAAAAAGTTTTTTACCTCGAGTGTGAGTTCGTTCTTGTCTTTGTCCCCGAATGGAAATGGTTGGCTGACCACGTCTTTGAGATACTCTTCTACAAAGTCCATGATGGGGGAGAACTTCCTCTTCATCTCCTCTCGAGACGTGTCGGTCGACTCGTACTCAAAACTGACGACGAAAAAACAGATCAACACCTGAGCAAAGATCTAACGGTGTTATGATTTTTAATTGAATAATACTCCCTACAACTGTACGATGTAACAGATAATACTCCCTACAACTGTACAATGTAACAGATAATACTCCCTACAACTGTACAATGTAACAGATAATACTCCCTACAACTGTACAATGTAACAGATAATACTCCCTACAACTGTACAATGTAACAGATAATACTCCCTACAACTGTACAATGTAACAGATAATACTCCCTACAACTGTACAATGTAACAGATAATACTCCCTACAACTGTACAATGTAACAGACAATACTCCCTACAACTGTACAATGTAACAGATAATACTCCCTACAACTGTACAATGTAACAGATAATACTCCCTACAACTGTACAATGTAACAGATAATACTCCTACAACTGTACAAGATAATACTCCCTACAACTGTACAATGTAACAATATACCCTACAACTGTACAACACTCTTATGTAACAGATAATACTCCCTACAACTGTACAACTCACCTTTATGTAACAGATAATACTCCCTACAACTGTACAACTCACTTATGTAACAGATAATACTCCCTACAACTGTACAACTCACTTATGTAACAGATAATACTCCCTACAACTGTACAACACTTTATGTAACAGATAATACTCCCTACAACTGTACAATGTAACAGATAATACTCCCTACAATGTACAACTCACAATTAGTTACAGATAATACTCCCTACAACTGTACAACTCAACTTACGTAACAATAATACTCCCTACAAATGTGCAACAATTCACCCTTATGTTACAGATAATACTCCCTACAACTGTACAATGTAACAGATAATACTCCCTACAACTGTACAACTCACCTTATGTAACAGATAATACTCCCTACAACTGTACAACTCACTTATGTAACAGATAATACTCCCTACAACTGTACAACTCACCCTTATGTAACAGATAATACTCCCTACAACAGTACAATGAAACACATAATACTCCCTACAAATGTACAACTCACAATTATGTTACAGATAATACTCCCTACAACTGTACAATGAAACACATAATACTCCCTACAAATGTACAACTCACAATTATGTTACAGATAATACTCCCTACAACTGTACAACAACTCACACTTACGTAACAATAATACTCCCTACAAATGTGCAACAATTCACCCTTATGTTACAGAAATACTCCCTAAAACTGTAGAATGTAACAGATAATACTCCCTACAACTGTACAAAAACTCATTCTTATCTGTGGTGTTAAAGGAAAACAGAAAAGTGAGACGCCGTCGTACTCGTGGATGGTGATTTCGGACGGGATCTCGGTCCAGAGGCGGGCGTAGCGCACGGGCACCACGGACTCCTGGGGGTCGCGGTCCACGTGCATGTGCAGCATCAGGCGGCAGAAGGAGGCGCGCAGGTTAAAGGGCAAACAGTCGTCGAACATGCAGCGGAGGATCAGGTCCACGGGCAGCTGCGTCGACACCTGGTTTATGGCCAAATACTGACGGTCCAGACACATGCGGGCAAACAGGTTCAGCTGGTACCTGCGGGCAACAGACACGGCACCGTTTATCACCAGTTTAGTGTTTATATAAGAGTGAGAAGACGCCGTTTTATCATTAAATGTTCAATATTACACAAAATGTGACTCCTGTGAGCTTTAAGTCGTGTTCTAACGTTGTTCTCTCCTCAAAAACAGAACTGGAGTTGTGTTTTGTTTCTTTTACATGTTTGAGTAACACTTTATTATGAGTCTGTGCACATCTCTAAATCTAAAAACGCTCTGTTCCATCTTGTGATGTCATGAAGTGGCTGCTCGACTGTCTATCGGACGTCAAGGCTTGGTTGGCCCAAAACTTTTTGAAACTCAATGAAGATAAGACTGAGGTGATACTGTTTGGGGCCAACAGTTCCCTCACTAATGTGGGATTCCTCAAAAATCATGTTCGTCCCACGGTCACCAACCTCGGCGTCATCTTAGACAGTGATTTTAAATTTGATAAACAGATTAACAATGTTTTAAAATCAAGTTTTTATCATTTGCGGCTTTTATCTAAAGTTAAACCTTTTTTATCTTTTAAACTATTTGAACAAGTTACGCAGGCTTTTATTTCATCGCGCCTGGACGACTGTAATGCACTTTATTCCGGCATTTCGCAAAACGCACTTTACCGACTACAGTTCGTCCAAAACTCTGCAGCGCGACTTTTAACAGGAACAAAAAGAAGAGAGCACATAACCCCAATCCTTGCATCTTTGCACTGGCTTCCTGTTAATTTTAGAATTGATTTTAAGATTTTATTGTTTGTTTTTAAAGCTTTCAATGTTCTGGCCCCACAGTACGTCTCGGACCTCATCTAAATTTATACCCCCTGCGCTCTGAGGTCTGACGTCCAGCTCAGGGCCTAAGACGAGACTTAAAACCAGGAGGACAGGAGCTTCTCTGTGGTCGACCCTAAACTCTGGAACGATCTGCCGCTTCACGTTCAAGCAGCTCCACAGTGGAGAGTTTTAAATCTCGTCTGAAGACCCACTTTTATTCTCTGGCTTTTAACACCGCGTGAGTTGTTGCTCCTCTGTGTCTTTTATTTATTTTTATGTGTTTTTATTGGTTTTACTGATTTAATTTATTTATTGGTTTTATTATTTCTATTCTATAATATAGTTTTATTTTTATTTTACTGGTTTTATATCATTTTACTGGTTTTATTACTTTAAGACTAGTATTATTTTAGTAATTTACTTTATCATCTTATTGTTGTTATTTTTTATGTATTTGTGCAGCACTTTGGAAACAGTTTGTTTGTGAAATGTGCTATAGAAATAAAGTGGATTGGATTGGATTGGTAGTTTTCAAGTTAACAGCTCATTTTGCCTTTAGTTCAGTACAGATTGGCAGTTCGAAAGCGGCTTTTTGTGTTAAACATGTGACTGAAACAAAACACAACTCCATGTTGCGTAAATTATATTGACTGACTCATTGAAGTAATAATAATAATAATAATAATACATTTTATTTATATTGCACTTTACATAAAATAATCTCAAAGTGTTACAGGTAAAAACTGTGAATAAAAGTGCATCAGCAAACAGTAGAAAATAAATGAACCTGGCTTAAACACGGGTCGTCTCAGAATAGCGTAACTGATACTTTACAGTGACATCACGCTGGGGGTGTTCTATGTGTATGTGTATTGGGGAAATGTTCATCAGTTACCATGGAGATACTATGCACACAAAAAGTTTTCAGATCATCTGAAAACCCAAGAAAAAATACAAAAAGTGTTTAAAGAGCACATTATCATTTTCCTGTGATCAGTGTGTCATGGTCCTGTTCAGGAGTTTGATTTTACACGAAGAGTGACTCATTGAAAAACTGTTGGCTAATGCTAATACTAACGCTAATGCTAATGCTAACACTAACGCCAAGCTTGTGACTGTGATGTTCTTTTACCAGCACAGATCCTCTCACCTATTGGAGTTCAGATAAATCAGCTCTTTATGTTCAGATTGTGTTAAAATAAAACTGAGATTAAAGTGTAACAGAGGCTCAGACAGAGCAGTGCCCACAGTTAGCATCACACTTCCAGAGAATGTTGACGACATCAGCTGCTAAGTAATAGTACAAAAGTACAATAAGGTAATAGTTTAATAGTGTAACAGTATAAACGTATAATAACGCAATAGTGTAATCGTATAATAGTATAAAAGTGCAATAACAAAATAGTGTAATAGTATAAAAGTATAATAATGTAATAATAGTGTACTAGTGTAATAGTATAAAAGCACAATAGCGTAATAGTTTAAAAATGTAATAGTATAGTAGAGTAATCATATAATAGTACAACAGTGTAATAGTGTAATACAGTAATAGAATAATAGTAAAAAAGTATAATAGTTTAATAGTAAAATAGCATAATTGTGTAATCGTATGATAGTATAAAAGTGTAATAATGTAATAGTATAAAAGCACAATAGCGTAATAGTGTAATAGTATAAAAATGTAACAGTATAGTAGTGTAATCATATACTAGTACAACAGCGTAATAGAGTAATAAAGTAATAGTATAATAGTATAAAAGTGTAATAACGTAATAGTGTAATAAAGTAATAGAATAACAGCAAAAAAGTGTAATAGTGTAATAGTAAAATAGCATAATTGTGTAATTATATAATAGTACAATAGCGTAATAGTGTAATAAAATAATAGTATAATAGTAAAAAAAAAAAAGTTTAATAATGTAATAGTATAATAGTGTAATCGTATAATAGTATAAAAGTGTAATAATGTAATAGGGTAATCATAATAGTACAACAATGTAATAGTGTAATAAAGTAATAGTATAATAGTAAAAAAAAAGTATAATAGTATAATAATGTAATAGTGTAATAGTTTTATACCATAACAGTGTAATAGTGTAATAGTGTAATCATATAATAGTACAACAGCGTAATAGTGTAATAAAGTAATAGAATAACAGTAAAAACGTGTAATAGTGTAATAGTAAAATAGCATAATTGTGTAATTATATAATAGTACAATAGCGTAATAGTGTAATAAAATAATAGTATAATAGTTAAAAAAAAAAAGTGTAATAGTGTAAGAGTATAATAGTAAAAAAGTTTAATAATGTAATAGTATAATAGTGTAATTGTATAATAGTATAAAAGTGTAATAGTGTAACAGTATAATAGAGTAATAGTGTAATTGTGTAATCGTATAATAGTATAAAAGTGTAATAATGTAATAGGGTAATCATAATAGTACAACAATGTAATAGTGTAATAAAGTAATAGTATAATAGTAAAAAAAAAGTATAATAGTATAATAGCGTAATAGCGTAATAGTATAATAGTGTAATAGTTTTATACCATAACAGTGTAATAGTGTAATAGTATAATAGTATAATAGTTTTATACCATAACAGTGTAATAGTGTAATAGTGTAATAGTATAATAGTTTATACCATAACAGTGTAATAGTGTAATAGTATAATAGTATAATAGTGTAATAGTTTTATACCATAACAGTGTAATAGTGTAATAGTGTAATAGTATAATAGTATAATAGTGTAATAATAGTTTTATACCATAACAGTGTAATAGTGTAATAGTTTTTATCCATAACAGTGTGTAATAGTGTAATAGTATAATAGTATAATAGTGTAATAGTTTTATACCATAACAGTGTAATAGTGTAATAGTATATAATAGTTTTATACCATAACAGTGTAATAGTGTAATAGTGTAATAGTATAATAGTTTTATACCATAACAGTGTAATAGTGTAATAGTGTAATAGTATAATAGTTTTATACCATAACAGCGTAATAGTGTAATAGTGTAATAGTATAATAGTATAATAGTGTAATAGTTTTATACCATAACAGTGTAATAGTATAATAGTATAATAGTATAATAGTGTAATAGTTTTATACCATAACAGTGTAATAGTGTCATAGTATAATAGCGTAACAGTGTAATAGTGTAATAGTGGCGTCACTGCGGCGGGCACCTGTAGTACGTGATGATGTCCACGTCCATCTTGTGGTTTCCTTTGGCGTCCTGGGCCAAGTGTCTGATTGATTTCCCATGAGGCTCTTTGTGGCTGTCGATCCAGTAGAGCCACACCTCCTCCTCCTCGCCCTCCTCCTGCATCATGGACGACTCCAGCGTCGACTCCGTGTTCGCTATGAGTCTGAGGGAGCAGACATCAGAGCATTAAAACGGCAAAAAGGAAAGAAGAAATAAACGAGTACAGAGTGGGAAGAAGTCGAGTCTTGGTTTTGACTTTCAGTACATTAACTTTCAATTTTGAGCATTAAAGCACTTAAAATGTGTTTTTTTTAGAGCTAATGGGGAAGTTCTCGTGAGACAAAATTGCTACAAGACTGAGTGAGTTACATCTCTTACATTCTAAAAGCAAAAATATTAAATCAAACGAATGAAAAATGTGAGGCCAAAATTGGAAACTGAACTGTGAATTTATGTATTAGGAATCATGTTAAAATCTGTTCTGGTTTAAACCTGGTTTAGACCTGGTTTAGTCCTGGTTTGGGCCTGGATTAGTCCTGGTTCAGCCCTGGTTTAGTCCTGGTTTAGTCCTGGTTTAGCTCTGGTTTAGTCCTGGTTCAGCTCTGGTTTAGTCCTGGTTTAGCCTGGTTTAATCCTGGTTAAGCCTGGTTTAATCCTGGTTCAGTCCTGATTCAGTCCTGATTTAGTCTTGGTTTAGACCTGGTTTAGTCCTGGCTCAGCTCTGGTTTAGTCCTGGTTTCGTCCTGGTCCAGTTATTGATTAAGACCTGGTTTAGTCCTTGTTCAATTCCGATTTAGTTCTGGTTCAGTCCTGGTTCAGCTCTGGTTTAGACCTGGTTTAGTCCTGGTTCAGTCTTGATTTAGTCCTGGTTCAGCTTTGGTTTAGCTTTGGTTTAGTCCTGGTTCAGTCCTGGTTCAGTCCTGGTTCAGTCCTGGTTCAATCCTGGTTTAATCCTAGTTTAATCCTAGTTTAGTCCTGGTTTAGTCCTGGTTTAGTCCTGGTTCAGCTCTGGTTCAGCTCTGGTTCAGTCCTGGTTTAGTCCTGGTTCAGTCTTGATTTAGTCCTGGTTCAGTCCTGATTCAGTCCTGGTTTAGTCTGGTTCAGTCCTGGTTCAGCTCTGGTTCAGTCCTGGTTCAGTCCTGGTTCAGTCCTGGTTCAGTCTGGATTTAATCCTAGTTTAGTCCTGGTTTAGTCCTAGTTTAGTCCTGGTTTAGTCCTGGTCTGAATTTTACTGTCTTAAAAACGTGAACAAAAGGACTAGTTCCTAATTATTCATTCAACCAGCATGCTAACCTTGCACTTCCTGATTCTCAGACTGTAAAAAAAACATCTGTCCTGGGGCAAAGTCTTATTTGTCTCCTTTAACACCGAAAAGCAAACAGGGAAAATCGGCGTGTTTTCTGGAGCTTTTGGACGTCCGTAAACGAGCCGACGAAACGAAACGAGACAGAATCCAGCAGGCGGTTTAAATATAGATCCGCAGGTGACTCACTTGGTCTGGATCAGGATGTCTGCGTTGGTGGGGTTCAGCATGAATTTGCAGATCAGCTCCTGTGTGACGGGGATCGCAGTTTTATTCGACACGCACAGATCCGAAAGATAGTCCAAAAACCTGCAAAAAAGAAAATATATACACAAGACAGTTCAGTTACAAGGTGAGGTGAGGTGGGGGGTACAGTGGCAGAGTGGTTAGCCCTGTTATTCATCGTGTAAACATATGTCCTGGTTTGGTTTTGGTTTAGACTTAGATATGGACAAAATTCACTGATCCAGAAGTGAAACAGCAGCCCACACATCACAATAAATTATAATAACAAAAGAGAAATGGTATAATAAATTCTAAATAAGTAACAGAGACTGCTGTCAATACACGCATCAAGAATCTCAGACTTCCGGTCATTGCGCAATTCATACTGAGAAGGATTTTCTGAAAAAGTGAGCATCAATCCTCCATGTTTGATTTTAGGGTGGGATGTGTCTATTGACAAAGCCAAACTTTTCAAGTCTTTTGAACCATATCACTTTTGTTTCTGGTTCTGATATTGTCATATTTTAGTTTTGGGATTCGGACATCGTTAATTGTGTGGTTGTTGGATCCTAACAGCGGAAAATGGATCGAGAAATTGGTTTGGGAACTCCATAAATGCAAAAGGGAATCAGATGTGTGTGACTGCAAACCTCCATTCAAACTCTTTCCCTTCCCATCGGAATTGAAAAATAGTGAAAGGTCAAGGCGATGGGCAGGACTGATCCACGGGATAGAAAAAAAAACGAAACCTTTGACTGCCTAAATCATCCTGAGTTTGCAGAGAACATTTTGTGTGGAGCGCCATCAAAGCAGGATCCCGTTTGTTAATGGAGAGGTGCAGAAGACAAACAGACTGAGCTACACTTTCTTGTTCTTGTGGTTTTACAGCAACATCACGTCTTGGTCTCTTTGCAGTGGAAGGTGTTTCTTGGTGAACAGTTGGTGCCTTTCGCTTTGGCGTTGACTTTTTAAATTCGTAACCAAGACTGAGTGAGGGATCGGGGTTTTGCTTTGTTGTCGCTCCACATACCAAATGTTCGCTGCAAACTCGGGATGATTTAGGCAGTCAAAGATTACCTTTTTGGTTCTTCCGTGGATCAATCCTGCCCATCACCTTCGCTTTTCACTAGTTTAAACAGAGGTTTGAGTCACACACATCTGATTCCCTTTTGCATTTACGGAGTTCGCAAACAAATTTCTCGAGCCGTTTTCCGCTGTTAGGATCCAACAACCACACAATTACGATATTTTGAATCCCAAACTAAAATATGACAAATCAAAACCAGAAACAAAAGTGATATGGTTCAAAAAACTTGAAAAGATCGACTCTGACAATAGACACATCCCACTGGGAAAACAAACATGGAGGTTTGATGCTCACTTTTTCGGAAAATCCTTCCCAGTATGAATTGCGCCGTGACCGGAAGTCTGAGATTCTTGATGCGTCTATTAAGGCGTAATTAAATAAATGCAAATGTACAAGTAAAAATCTAATAAAAAAAAACAGAAATAAAGTAATAAAAATATGTCTCAGTTATGCACAAGAGGCTGTAATTAAAATGTGAAGAAATGAAGAAGAAAGAAGACATGAAGATGATATGATGATTGACAGGACATAGTTTGGTCAGACAGGGTTTGAGGCAAGTTTAGTCCTGATGTAGACTTGGTTGAGACTGATTCATCAGACGGTTTCACTTCGTAGAAAATGTGTGACCTTGCAGCATTAGGATTCGTTCGCTCGACAGTGACAGTGGGCGGGTACTTTTTTTTATTGAACCAATCGCTGTTGTTTGATTGTGACGTATGTAATGATCCAAATCCTGTAGGAAGAAGAACAATAACGTCTTTCCCAGAGATCAAATTCACCAAACATTCTCTTTGTTCCGGCTTTAAATTCTCGATCTCGGGAATCGTCGCCAACACTGAACGTCTGTCTCTTCTCTGATTGGCTGGTGCCTGAACTCGCACTTCCGAGATTTTTTGCGAACCGCCTAGTGTTTTCTGAGTCCTGATCTAGTCGCTGGAGAGAAATGAAATTGAGCGGAGGCACTAGGTGGCGTCTAGTCCAGGTTTAGTTTTAGTTTACCGCAATTTCCGGACTATTGAGAGCACCTGAATATAAGATGCATCAACAAAATTTTAAAGCTTGTATGGAGGATTTTTTTTTGTTTGTTTCAAATTGTCAGTGAAAGTTCAAAATAGAATTACAAAGATGCAGCAGCCTTGTAATTATGGTAACCCCAAAAAAAAAAAAAGAATGAAAATCCATCAACTGTGGACGTGGTGAGGCTGGATAAACATCGGCAATAGAAAACAAGGCTACCTCTTTATCTATTGGCTGTTGGGTTGTCAATCAAACTTCCTACATATCTCGCGTCACTGACTTGCCGGCGTGCTGGGATCACATGGTTTATGTTCGCCTCTCACGCACTGATGCCATTTACTCGACCAGCACAGCGGTTTCTTGGCGTCTTTTTCGAACTGTAGCTTCCTCTCAGTTCGCACAAAGTTTGTTGTAATGACCGACAAGAATTCACGACCAGTTCATCGCAAAAGAAAGTCTGTTTCTGACATCGCGGAAAGAAGAGGAGATGGGAAAAGGAGCGAAGCGCGACATTTGAAAAAGAACAAACAGTCGCTGCATTTCTCTTTATTTGGAAAAATCTTCTTTACAAACCTTTAAAAGAAAAAAAATGTGTACATATACAGGCCGCACTTGTCTATAAGCCGCAGGTGTCCACGTTGTTACACAGAAAGATTTTTTTAATTTTTAATTAAATACGATATATGCTTTTTTCTGAATAATGTCTTTAACACGGCAGTAAAACGACAGGATTATCAGACTACGTCACATCACTGTACTGCGCATGTTCTCCTGCAGAACGAGTCTGTTCTGTCTGGATCATATCAGTGTCTTGTAGATTTCAGCAGATTTCAGACTCTCTCGGGGGCGGGGACAGGTGTGTGGATCAGGGGTGAGTGGACGTGCGGCTACTGAAGTTTGAGATGTTTCTTCTCGTCATTTTTAGTTCTGCTTTTATGTATTGATGTTATTTTTTTTTTTCTAAGTAAAATGTTTTACATCGCTATAGGCGAGTTTCACTGTTGACAAAAAGAGCTCGTTGCATGCTGGGAATTATTTTGGTCGGCGGCAAGAAACACTAATTCAACATGACGGACGGAGCGAGAAAACACGTAAAGGGTATTGATCCTGGTTATTTATCCACTCTAACAGCAGAGGACCCAAGACCATTTGACCAGAAATTGGTCATAAGCATCGACGGACGACAGATCACCCTTTTCAACCCCGACAGAGTCTGGACCAAACCACATTTTTTGGTCAGAATTGCCAACTACCTGGACAAATATTCACTTGGGCGACAATCCACAATGACTTGGTGGAAACTCCTGGGTCATTCACAGCAGAAAAGATGAAAACCTCCAAGAGTCTCGATGTGTTGTTGAACTTGTTGGAGTCCACGGTTTGTTAGGATCTTCTACGTTTGCTCTGCGGATGTTTGAAAGTCGTTTAATTCACCGTTAGTGGTCTTTTTCACTCAGAATACGAAAAAGACATTTTCCTTCTTCTGTGCTTCTATTTGTGCATCTGATAATGCAGCAGGAATTTACCATTATCGGGGAGAAATACGCGAGGTTACGCACTGTGTTTGATGCTACCGTGTTTCTTGCCTCCGACCAAAATATTTCCCAGCAGCAACGCGGGCTTTTAATAACAATGACGTCAGCTAAAACTCGCCTATATAAAGCACTTTGACAACTGTCTTGTTTATAAAATGTGCTCTACAAATAAAGTTGGATTGGATTTTACACACTCACCTGCATTTAACACACACGAGTCATTAAGACGAATCCCACTCACTCATGTTCATTTAGCATCAGAATTTATTTTATCACACGGAGATAAACTGTTTTAGTGCACAGACAGCGGCGCTTTCTGCACTCAGGCTGCACACATCCTCTGTGTCGATAAAAAAATAATCCGACCGTCCATATATTCACCTCACCGTTGTTTAAGCTGCAGGGTTCAAAGTTTGAGAAAAAAGTAGCAGTAGTACAAAGGCAAAAGACCTGAACTCGCAAGAGTGTGAAACTGAGAAAAATGACTTCAGAGTTTCAAAGCCATGTTGTCTCGTATAGTTTTGGATGTTATGGTTGTCATATTTTCTCCTTAAAACTGTTAAATTGGCTCACTCATTTTTAACCAAATGTGACGTTACAGTGTTCTGCTTTTGTAGGGCAGTATAGTCCAGAAATTACGGTAATAGTTTATTTATCCTGGACAATACACATAAAAAAAAAAAAAAAAAAAACAGACCCACACAAAATGGTGATATGTTTGTGCCAGGTTATAGCAAAATTGCCCTTCATCCACCTTCAGTCCCTAGATTTAGTCGAAATTTTGAAATTCTGAAACTCGGATTTTGGTCGATTAAATAAATTCTCGTTAGACTAAAGACGTGCTGCTCGATTGGTTGGTAGAGGACGTAGAAAAAGCTCTCAAAACTATTGTGTATCTCTGTTTATCTGACCCAAATTGGACTCACAAGGCCACACCTGCAGGGGGAGCTCATGCGCAGATGCATAATATATATTTATAAAGAAAAAAGAATTAGGAAACTATATATTTATGTAAAAGTTGTTGAACTGTTGATTTTACAGATAAATATTAAAAAAAAATCTAAATCTTGGACTAACTCACTCACTCCTCCTTTCTGCTGTTGTCCATAGAAATAAAAAAAAGTGATTATATATAAATGGAGGTGTTTCTGGCTCCATCGACTCTGGCTCTAATTCACTTTACATTGAAAAACTGTCTGCTCTTTCGCTGTAACTGCTCCTGTCAGACTCCTCGTTTTGGTCTGAAAATGTTCCTATAAACCCACTCTACATGATCTTTGGGTTTTTATTTCACTGCTCCTCTCACCTGGGTTCTGTTTGGGCCTGGTGGCTCTGGTCTCACCTGGGTTCTGTTTGGGCCTGGCTCTGGTCTCACCTGGGTTCTCGGTTCCTCCGGAGCAGATTGACAAAGGTCTCGATCTCTTTGGCCGTGATGTGTTTCTCCAGGAGTTTGCGGTTGTTGTGGAGCAGAGCTGTGATGGTGTCTTCGGCCAGGATCTCGTACCCGATCTGAGACTGCATGATGGAGAACTTCTTTGCGATGTGCTCCTGCAGGAACGAGAACGTGAGAAAAATTACAGAGTGGACGAGAAAAAGAGGAGCAAAACTTCATCACAGGGACGACGGTGGTTACATCTACATGGTCAGCTCAAATAATCAGATAACCCAATAATTTGATCTGATTTCTGGTTATTTCTGTATAATATTTCAGCAACCGGTTAACTCCAAAAATCCGATCATGATCTGATTTCAGGTGTGTATCTAAATCCACATGTACACTGTTGGTCAAAAGTTTTAGAACACCACACTTTTTTTCCTTCGAGGTCAAACGGTTTCCATGAAGTGAAACCAGCTGATGAATCAGTCTAAGACTCGGAGCCTCCAGAACCTGAAACTTCTCTTGCTTTGTTGTGGCTTTCTTCCAGTTTCCGTCTACTTCAGCGCAGAATAGTGAGGTTTGTGGCTTGTTGATGACGTGTGTGTCGACCTTTATCAGATAGAACAGCTGAACACACTCGTGGCTCGTTCTTTTTACAACACAAATCAAATATTGTTCAGAAAGTTCTTCCCAAGCCTGTTGCAGAAGTTTCCATAAATGTGTGGCACTTGTCGGTTGCTTCACTCTTCAGTCTTCAGCTCGATGGAGTTTAAGTCTGGACACTGTGCTGCTGCTGCTGCTGGACACTCCAGGTTTTCAAGTTTTACCATCTTGTTCTTTTTTTCCTGAGGTCGTTTTGGCAGAGCTTGGAGTTGTTTTAGCTTTTTTTTTTTAAAAACCTCTGTCTATTCAGTTCTTACCTTCGGACCATTTCAAGTGACTCACTGGACTTGCACGACTTGAGTTGGAAAAAATAAGTTGAAAAATTATGGTGTTCTAAGACTTTTGACCGGTAGTGTATGTGTTTACTTTACTGGGAAATCATCGAAATAAGATAACATATTTACAGTAGGACACGTCTTCATTGTACCTCATACATTCAAAAAAGTGCAAATTTAATCCTTTTTTTAATAAACGCAATGGGGCAATAGTATAATAGTAAACAGTAGAAAGCAGTGATGGAGTTTGAACTATAATTGCATTCAGAATAAAAGCTATCGCCGAATTGTCTTGAGCTCAGGACTCAGGGAAAACCGACCTCCACCAAGAGAAAGTTCAATAGAACGACCGATCAAATCGAGGTTCCGAAACACAAACTCGGGCGAGTTCGGCGCAAAGTCGTTTGGATTTACGTCACAGCGAAAATGTCGGCGCACACAGTAAACGGGGAGAACTGTCTTTTGGTCATTTTGATGTGTTCAAGTTGTGTCTGTGTAGAGAAAGTGTCTCTAAAAACTTTGTAGTGACATTTAGACTTTCTTTCATGTCGTTTCACGGTAGATTTTTTTCTGAGCGTGTATAAGTCAAACTGACATAACTTTTGACACAGAAAACCATTGACTGGAAGTTCACAAACGTACATCTGGACACTTCAGACCGTTGTGAAAAAGGTCTCTCCTGACCTCTGTGTCTGGGTGAGTAGTCCTCGTGAGGGGGACTTGCCTGGTTCTTGCTAGTCCTGCTGGGAGTGGCGCAGGATTCTGTAGCAGAGTCGGAGCATGTATTTAAAGTGTGCGTAGCGCTGGTCTCCCAAATCCTCCAGCCTCAACATGGGCCCGTCCCCTTGCTCCTCAAACGGGGCCTTCAGGATCCCGAAGATCTTTCGGACATGACGCAGACAGAGAACATTTTAAAGAACATCGCTCCAACAAAGACCGAAAACTTTTTACGCAAGTTTAATTTCAACCAAGATGAAGATTTAATTTGAGAAAACATGCTTTACATTCTGACCTGCTCTAGAATGTTCTGCTCCCTCATGAGCTTCTGCCTTTCGCGGTTCGGCGTTGACGTGGCGATGGAGAGGACGTCCTGCCCGTTGTTGGGGACGACGCACACGAAGAAAATCAGCTCCTCCATAAGCTTCGTCACAAACCTCGAATAAACCAGAGAACCATGAGAACACTTTAATGCAAAAAAACAAACAAAAAAAAACCTGTATCTTTCAATGCCAAATCTGGAAGTTTCTGGAGATGGAAAGTCAACTGCATGAGTCCATGGAAACCGATAAAGTCACAAGACTTTTATGGTATATTGTGGAATATTATAGCCAAAGGAACAACAGTCAGGTCTGTGGAAATGCGAGCAAGATCCGGGTTAGGTTTAGGAACAGAAGATTTGTTTGGGCTTAGGGATAGAGTCCGTCAAATGCTTTCCTTCATGGAGATGTTATTCCTTTGTCGGGAATGTTCCACAGTATGGCATTAAACCTTTCGATCTTCACGGAGCCTCAACCAGACCAAGTTACAGGCCAGATCTGTGGAGAGGCAACCCCGCTTACAGTCAGAATGTTTGTTTTTCTCAGTATTTTTGAGCTATAAAACCACCTAGAATTGAATAAATGTAAACTAAAGCTGTTTAATGACATACTGTGGAACATTTTTAAGCAGAGCAATGACATCTCGATAGAAACAAGCCGAAAAAACGAGCTAAACCTGTCTTGGACGAAGCGCATTGAGAGGAAATATTTATGGAATATTGAGTCCACTGAAAAAACCCCGACACGTTTCTGCGCTGATGTGTACCTGCGTTCATTCTGGGCGATGTTTCCGTGTCGGAGTTTCCTCACCGTGGACTCCAGGACTTTGTTTGCGTCGTTGGCAAAGTCCAGATCTCGGACTTCGGAACGCGCCACAGAGACGATGGCAAACGCCTCTTTGTCCTCTTTAGTCGGGCAAGTGCCGATCTGTTTAAAAAGAGAAGAAACGCACACTTTTATACACTTTAATACTCTTTTAACACACTTTTATACTCTTTATATACACTTTTTTTTCTGCTTTTATACACTTTTACACACTATTATACACTTTTAACACACTTTTATACACTTTACACACTTAATATAAAGTGTATACACTTTATAAAGTGTATACACGTTTACACACTACTACATACTTTTATAAAATTTTATATACTTGTATACACTTTCACACACTTTTATACTCTTTATACTCACTTTAATACACTTTTATCTGCTTTCATACACTTTTACACACTTTCACACACTGTTACACACTTGTATACACTTTATAAAGTATATACACTTTTTCACACTACTACACACTTTTATACAATTTTATATACTTGTATACACTTTTATACACTTTAACCACTTTTATACACTTTCACACACTTTTATACTTTCACACACTTTTAAACTTTCACACACTTTTCTACACTTTAACCACTTTTATACACTTTCACATGCTTTTACACACTTTTATACACTTTTATATACTTTTACACGCTTTTACACATTTTTATACACTTTCACATGCTTTCACACACTTTTCTACACTTTAACCACTTTTATACACTTTCACACACTTTTATAAACTTTCACACACTTTTCTACACTTTAACCACTTTTCTACACTTTCACACGCTTTTACACACTTTTATACACTTTAACCACTTTTATACACTTTCACACTTTCACACTTTTCTACACTTTAACCACTTTTATACACTTTCACATGCTTTTACACACTTTTATACACTTTCACATGCTTTTACACACTTTTATACACTTTCACATGCTTTTACACACTTTTATACACTTTAACCACTTTTATACACTTTCACACGCTTTTACACACTTTTATTTACATATTTTCACACTTTAACCACTATTATGCACTTGTACACAGACTTTTAAACACTTTTAAACACTTTTGCACACTTCATACAGTAACAAAAGGCTGTTTCAAATATAGGAGTAATTAAAAGTGCGTTTAAGTTTAAGTGCGTTAATTAAAAGTCTAACGTTTTCTGGTAGAGAGTCCATCAGACTCTTTTCTCACTGGAGATGTTATTTCTTTGTCTGGAATGTTTCACAGTATGGCATTAAACCTTTCAATCTTCACGGTGCCTAAACCAGACCAAGTTCCAGGTCAGATCTGTGGAGAGGCGACCCCGCTCACAGTCACAATGTCTGTTTTTGAATGTTGGTATTTTTGAGCTCTAAAACCTCCTGGAATTAAATCACTCTCACGTTTTTGCTGAAAATCTAACTACTAAACAGGATGTGCCGTTAAAATTGTGCAATTTTTCTGGACTTTTCGCACGTAAAAGCTGCATTGCGCAAATTTTCTGGTGAATCCATCTCGCATTTATTCATTACTTATTATTTTGTTGCTCAAAAATACAACAATCCCTCCTGTGAATAGTGGCGCCTCTCTACAGATCTGACCGGTTTACGTCCTTAGAGATAGATTGGTTTAATCTATACTGTGGAATATTCTGGACAAAGCAATAACATCTCCACTGAGACAGGCAGGTGACGGACCCTCCAATAGAAATGTTACACAGTGTAGCTTTAAACTAGTGACGTATTTGCAACTGAATATTGTTTATTTAATATGAGTTACAATTTAATCAGACACTTGTGCTTGTTAAATATTTGTAAATGATCTTGTTGTGACGACTGTAATCGTCTTTATCAACACACGGAACTCACATCCTATTTACATAAACATCTAAACATCGCCACGGCAACTAATGAGGTGCAATTATCAATACAAATAATCACCTTGAGCATAACGGGCCTCTCCTCCTCGGTGTCTATGGGGATGTTCGTGCTCGTGACCCACGTGTTGGTGCAAAGATGCCTCAGACGCACGTACGAGTTTCTGAAAACAAACAAAAAACACAGCAGCAATTATTTTTGAAGGTCCAATATGACGCAAAAGTGACTCCTGTGAGGTTTAAGTTATGTTCTAACGCTGTTCCCTTGTCACAAACAGAACTGGAGTTGAGTTTTGTTTCATTCACATGTTTGAGTAACTCTTTATTATTAGTCTGTCTATATCTCCAAAGCTCAGAATGCTCTGTTCCACCTTGTGATGTCATGAAGCGTTTTTTTTTTTTTACCTTTTTTCCCCAACAGCTCCTATTCCCATTAGTCCTGGTTCAGTCCATATACAGCGCAAAAGTTATTTTGGTGAGAGTAACTTAAAGTAATGCAATAGTAATGTAATGCCTTACATTTTAAATGCAGTAATATTGTAATATAACGAATGACTTTGAAATGACAGTAATAGGTAATAAATAACACATTACAGTTTCAAAGTAACTTGCCCAACAGTGTTTATGAGGATTAACACGCAGAGGCCTGTTACGTCGCGCGGATCTGGGTTACCAGGGCCTCACCCTGGAGCCAGGCCAGGAGGTTGAGCGTTACCGACTAGACACAGTCCGCCTCACCTCCACGCACAGTTTGGGCTCTGGAACCCAACTCCTTGAGAGGGGCTGGCGGGGGGCTGGTGTGGGCTCATTGCCCCACAGCTCAGCCGCCGTGTGTTGGAGTTCACCCCGGTGAACGAGAGGGTCACTTCCCTGCGCCTTCGGGTCGGGGACAGGTCTTCTCACTGTGGTGTCGGCCTACGGGCTGAACTGCGGTGCTGAGTACCCGGCCTTCTTGGAGTCCCTGGGAGGGGTACTAGACAGTGCACTGACTGGGGACTCCGTTGTTTGGTCGACTTTGGTCGACTCTGACCGGCTCGGTTAAGCTCATTTGGAATTACAAAATAAACATTTGATTTTACCTCATGCATGGACTAAAACTGCACAGCTTTTATTTATTTATTTATTTTTTATGAAATCTTTAGTTTGGCAGTCTCACTTTTTCATTGCTTAGGCATAACATAAACTCCTCCCAGTCTGAGCAGCTCATCAGAACAATTATTATATTTACTGCTTTTTATAAAGAAATACAATTAATATTATGTGAAAAATCCTTTCAGAGCAGGAGGGATTTTTTTTTTGCTGTAGTTCCAGTGAGTGGCCACTGCACAAACTTAAGACAGATACAAGCAGCAAGAAACTGTCCAGTTCATTCAATACATCCATGACTCTGCGTCTTTTCAGTAAACTAAGTAAATTTCTGTTCAGCCATTACTTCCAGTCACACAAGAAGTCAACAAAATAAAAGTGTATAACCTTATTATGAGTTAAACATGTGAATGAAACAAAAAAAAACACAACTCCAGGCCTTTTTGTGACGAGGAAACGACATTAGAACACAGATCTGAACATCCCGTCTAAGAAACTCCATCGTAAATCTCTTAGTAAATCCTAAAGTGTGTGATATGGTTTCTGGTGGGTTTGCGTCGGCGTGTTTGGTTTTTGGTGGGTTTGCGTCGGCGTGTGCCCGGGTCTGACCTGGGCACCAGACAGTCGGCGCGCTGGAGGGTGGTGGCGTCGAGCTCAAACAGGGAGGAGATGTCGTTCCCGTGGGGCACAGACACCAGGGTGAAGGCGATCTTCTCCGCCGCCTGGTTCTTCCGTTTGGAGAAAACTGTTCCATTCTCCTGCTGCCGAAACAACAAAACACAACACAATACATGTTAAACGTCGTCTGGAATGTATGGCTTTAAATCTTTCTTTTCTAACACAGGAAACATGGGAAAAACAAGAAACACAGAAAACTCCGGAAAAAAAGATAAACACAGGAAAAACGGGAAACATGACAAACACGGGAAACACAAGAAAAACAGGAAACACAGGAAAAACAAAAAACACGAGAAACACGACAACAAAAACGAAACCCGGAAAAAAACGAGAACACGACGAGAAACCCGGGAAAAACGAGAAACACGACGGAAACGAGAAACAAGAAAACACGACGGGAAACACGACGAGAAACACGACGAGAAACACGACGAGAAACACGGGAAAAACAAAAAACACGAGAAACACGACGAGAAAACCCGGGAAAACGGAAACACGAGAAACACAAAGAAACGACGAGAACACGACGGAAACACGACGGGAAAACGACGGGAACACGACGGAACATGACGAGAAAACGACGAGAAACACGACGAGAAACATGGGAAAAACAAAAAACACGAGAAACACGATGAGAAACCCGGGAAAAACGAAAAACACGAGAAACACGATGAGAAACACGACGAGAAACACGACGGGAAACACGACGGGAAACACGACGGGAAACATGACGGGAAACACGACGAGAAACATGGGAAAAACAAAAAACACGAGAAACACGACGAGAAACGGGAGAAAACGAGAAACACGATGAGAAACACGACGAGAAACACGACGAGAAACACGACGGGAAACACGACGAGAAACACGACGGGAAACACGACGAGAAACACGACGGAAACACGACGAGAAACATGGGAAAAACAAAAAACATGAGAAACACGATGAGAAACACGACGGGAAACACGACGAGAAACATGGGAAAAACAAAAAACACGAGAAACACGACAAGAAACACGACGAGAAACACGACGGGAAACACGAGAACACGACGAACACGAAACACGAGAAAACACGACGAGAAACATGGGAAAAACAAAAAACACGAGAAACACGACGAGAAACCCGGGAAAAACGAGAAACACGACGAGAAACACGACGAGAAACACGACGAGAAACACGACGAGAAACATGGGAAAAACAAAAAACAAGAGAAACACGACAAGAAACCCGGGAAAAACGAGAAACACGATGAGAAACACGACGAGAAACACGGGAAAGACGAGAAAGACGAGAAACACGACGAGAAACACGACGAGAAACACAAGAAACATGGGAAAAACGAGAAACACGGGAAAAATGGGAAACATGACAAACACGGGAAAAACGAGAAAAACAGGAAACACGAGAAAAACAGGAAACACGAGAAAAATAACAAGAAACACGGGAAACTTGACGAGAAACATGAGAAACACGGACACTTCTCTCCCAACACTTTGGAAACTTTGATACCCTTTACTTTCAGTTGCAACTCTGAAATTTCCCCTTCGTAGGAAACTAAATTCTAAATTCATCTTATGTGTGAGTTAGTTGTGTGAGAGTTTTGTCTGAGTTTTATGTGTGATTTGTGTTGTGTGTGTGTGTGTGTGTGTGTCTTGCGTGTGAGTTTTGTGTGTTCCTTTTGTGTATGTTTTGTGTGAGTTGTGCGTGAGAGTTTTTGTGTGTGAGTCTCGTGCGTGAAAGTTTTGCGTTTTGTGTGTGAGATTTATGTGTGTGATTTGTGCGTGTGAGTTTTGTGTGTGAGAGTTTTGTGTGAATTTTGTGTGTCTGTCTTGTGTATGTGTGAGTTTAGTGTCAGTTGTGAGTTTTGTGTGTGAGTGAGTTTTGTCTGAGTTGTGTGTGTGTGTCTTGTCTGAGTTGTGTGTGACTTTTGTGTATCCATGTCTTGTGTGTATGAGTTTAGTGTGAGTTGTGTGTGTGAGTTTTGTGTGTGTGTGTGTGTCTTGTTTTGTGTGAGTTGTAACTTGTGTGTGAGTTTTGTCTCAGTTTTGTGTGAGTTTTATGTGAGGTGTGTGTGTGTGTTTAGTGTGAGTTGTGAGTTTTGTCTGAGTTGTGTGTGTGAGTTTTAAGTGTGTGAATCATTTGTGTGAGTTGTGTGTGAGTTTTGTGTGTGTGTGTCTTGTCTGAGTTGTGTGTGAGTTTTGTGTGAGTTGTGAGTTTTAAGTGTGTGTGTGTGTGTGTGTCTTGTCTGAGTTTGTGTGTGTGTGTGAGTTGTGTGTGTGTGTGAGTTTTGTGTGTGTGTGTGTCTTGTGTGCGTTGTGAGTTGTGTATGTGAGTTTTAAGTGTGTGAATCTTTTGTGTGTGTGTCTTGTGTGAGTTTTGTGTGTGTGTGTGAGTTGTGTGTGTGAGTTGTGTGTGTGAGTTTGTGAGTTTTGTGTGAGTTGTGAGTTTTGTGTGTGTGTGTGAGTCTTGTCTGAGTTTTGTCTGAGTTGTAAGTTGTGTGTGTGAGTTTGTGTGTGTGTGTCTTGTCTGAGTTGTGAGTTTGTGTGTGTGAGATTTGTGAATTGTGTGTGTGAGTTGTGTGTGTGAGTTTGTGTGTGAGTTGTGAGTTTTGTGTGAGTTGTGAGTTTTGTGTGTGTGTGTGTCTTGTCTGAGTTTTGTCTGAGTTGTAAGTTGTGTGTGTGATGTGTGTGATTTTGTGTGTGTGTTTGTGTGTAGAGTTGTGTGTGTGTGTCTTGTGTGAGTTGTGAGTTTGTGTGTGTGAGTTTTGTGTGTGAGTTGTTGAGTGTGTGTGTTGTGTTTTGTGTGTGTGTGTGAGTCTTGTCTGTGAGTTGTGTGTGTGTGTGAGTTTTTGTGTGGTGTGAGTCTTGTCTGATGTGTGTTGAGATGTGTTGTGTGTGTGAAGTTTTGTGTGTTGTGTTGTTGTGGCAGAAGTTGCTGGTTTCATTTCTTTCGTGAGCTCGGGCAGCTCCCCAGAGTCTCTCCATCTCTCCTCCTCCCACTCCTTCCTCCCTCCCTCCCTCTCCCTCTCTCCTTCTCTCTTTCTCTCTTTCTCTCTCTCTGTCTCTCTCTCTCTCTCTCTCTCTGCCGCTGGTGAGTCACGGGCGAGCGGAGCAGACAGCACGTCCCTCCTCCCTCCTCTCCATCTCTCTGTCTCTCCATCCGTCCGTCCGTCCGTCCGTCCCCCGCTCCCTCCGTCTCCTCTCTTGACCCCTCTCTCCCACCTCTTCCTCTTCCTCCTTTCCACTCTCGTTCGCTCTCCTTCCCTCCTCTCTCTCTCTCTCTCTCTCCCTCCGTCCTCCCTCTCTTTCTCTTTCTCTCTTTCATCCAGACGTTATGTAAGGACCGTGAGTGTGTCTGAATCCTGCATGTGCGTGAGGAAGTGTGAGACTGCATCCTCTCTCTCTCTCCTTTCTCCTGCTCACTCCTCTCTCTTTCTCTCCTCTTTCCCGCTCTATCTCCTCTCTCTCTCCCCCTCCATCCTTTTCTCCCTCGTTTCCTGTGCATAGGTGACGTGAGGCTGCCTCTGCTCCACGTCTCTTTCTCTTTCTCTCTGTGCATAAGACAGTATGAGGATGCAGGCTTCCTCTCCTCTCTCTCTTTCTTTCCTCTCCTCTCTTCTCTCCTCCCTCTCTCCTGCTCTCCACAGGGCAGTATGAGGCTGCAGGCTGCCTCTCCTCTCCTCTCCTCCTCCATCCTTTCTCCCTCGTTTCCTGTGCACAGGGCGACGTGATGTGAGGCTGCCTCTGCTCCACGTCTCTCTCTCTCTCTCCCTCTCTTCCTCCAGCTCTCCTCTCCTCTCTCCTCCCTCTCTCCCCCTCTCCGCAGGGCAGTATAAGTCTGCAGGCTGCCTCTTCTCTCTCCTCTCCTCCCTTCTATCCCTCTCTTTTCCCCCTCTCTGTACGTTGGGGAGTATGTGCAGGCTGCTTCTCTCCCTCCCTCTTCCCCCTCTCCTCAGGGCTGTATGAGTTTGCCTCTCTCTCTCTCTCTCTCCTCCTTCTTTCTTCTCCACTCTTTTCTCTCTCCTCCCTCTCTCCTGCTCTCCGTAGGGCAGTATGAGTTTGCAGACTGCCTCCTCTCCTCTCTCCTCTCCTCTTTCCTCTCTCTTTTCACAGGGCAGTATACATGAGTTTGCCTCTGGCTTCTCTCCTCCCTCTCTCTTCCCTCTCTTTTCCCCATCTATGC